GCTTCATGGGCTGGCTATTTGTACTCGTGGTCTCCCGCTATATAGTACCTCGCGGAGAGTCAGACACGGGCTAGCTACAGTAGTAGATAGTATGCTGGAGTCGATACATGCCATTCGTTGTGACTTCCTGACCCCCCAAGGTACACAGAGCGAGCGGATCAGGTCGCAGTAAGCCCAGTGCGATTATGCATATTATTGCCTTTTCGCTTGTTTTCACGGCATATCTCCCGAACGCAGTCGTTTCAGGAAAAAAGCCATTTTATATTTCATGCGCTTGTAGCACTGATGCTTTTGGTATCGCTCTTAGACAGCCTCGTTGCCTGTAGTGCGAGAATAGTCGTGGACACACAGACACACACACACACTAAGTGCAAACCCTCTATGTAACATGCGCAGTAAGTACCGCTAATTGATGGGAAGGGCTTGAGTATGCGTAGTCTCGCAGCTCGAAGAGTCTGAAACGGGCTTGCTATACACACTAGTGGATAGAATGCGTGAGTCGATACGTTGTGACTGCTTCTGCCTCCAAGGGACGTTTCAGCCATTTTTTTTTCAGGTTCGCATACATCTGAAGCCGTCGGTACCTATCGCTCCTAGGCCGCCTCGTAATATAGTTTTGCGTAGCCACACCCACGATCGCGAACTGTGCGAGGGTCTGTCGTCTTGCTTTACCGCGATATGTACGGATTACGTAATACTTTTAAAATCAAAACTGTGTTGTGACGTAAGTATACGAAAGGACGAGCACATTGAGGGGCGGAGCGTATACTGTGACGTTCTGCAATTTGATTGGGCTGCAAAAATCCTGCAGCAGGGTTTTATCCTAGCTTGACGCCAGACCCTCGCGCTGATCGCGCTAGAGAGTGTGGCCCGCCAGACTAGCTGCAGACATGACACTCACGCAGACCAAGTACTGTAGCTGTGCATGCGCGCCGAGGGTTAATGAATAATGATGCAACCAGAGTGCGAGTGGCTCGTTCCACACCCATCCATGGATTCGCTTCACATGCTTTTTCCTATAATTATAATGCTAGATTGCACCTGTAGTGATCAGAGAGGGACCGTGTTGTTGTGCTTAGGCGTGGATATGGCTTGTTTTCTTAACCTCGTGCCGAATCTAGTATACACCCAGTGGTGACTCGTTCCACGAGCCCATATTATTGAATTCGCTTCACATACTTTGTCCTTCATATAAATTTGATAGATTGCATCCCTCTATCTATTGGTAGTGATCAGAGTGGCTTGTTTTCTTAACCTCTGCCCCATTAACCGGAATTTACAACCATAGTGACTTGTTCCACACCCATTCATGAATTCGCTTCACATGTTTAAATTCCTGTAGCTCATGCGAGTATCATCCTATTGCAACCTATTCATAGTCATCAGAGTGGCTTGTTTAAGTTCCCTCCCCCTTTAACCGAATTTCTTTCACATTGCTTGGTTTGCTATGACAGCATAAAAATAGTTATTGGTGCAGCCAGAGTGGCTTGTTCCACACCCATCCATGAATTCGCTTCACATGCTTTTTCCCATTATAATGATAGATTACCCTTGCAGTTATCAGAGTGGCTTGTTTTGGCAAGGCTTGTTTTCTTAGGATAACCTCTCTCCCCCCGACTACAGTTGATATAATATTGCTTGCTCGCGTGCGCGGGATGAAAGGAGTGTGTCGATTTGGGCGGAATTACGCATGCGTGCAGAAGAGTTGCTGAAAAACGCCGATCGGGCGCAGAAGCCGAATTCGCCACTAAAGACCCATTGCAAAACCACGCCTACTGTTTAAATTCCTGTAGCTCATGCGAGTATCATCCTATTGCAACCTATTCATAGTCATCAGAGTGGCTTGTTTAAGTTCCCTCCCCCTTTAACCGAATTTCTTTCACATTGCTTGGTTTGCTATGACAGCATAAAAATAGTTATTGGTGCAGCCAGAGTGGCTTGTTCCACACCCATCCATGAATTCGCTTCACATGCTTTTTCCCATTATAATGATAGATTGCACCCTCTACTATTGATGGTGATCAGAGTGGCTGGTTTTCTTAACCTCTGCCCCATTAACCGGAATTTATATACAACCATAGCGACTCGTTCCACGCACATCCATGAATTCGTTTCACGTGGCTTTTCCTATAAAATGCCAGATTACACCTGCAGTTATCAGAGTGGCTTGTTTTGGCTTGGCTTGTTTTCTTAACCTCTGCCCGAATCTATATACAACCATGGTGACTCGCTCCACAGCCATTTATGAATTCGCTTCACATACTTTTTCCCATATAATGATAGATTGCACCCTCTTACTATTGATAGTGATCAGAGTGGCTTGTTTTCTTAACCTCTGCCCCATTAACCGGAATTTACAACCATAGTGACTTGTTCCACACCCATTCATGAATTCGCTTCACATGCTTAAATTCCTGTAGCTCATGCGAGTATCATCCTATTGCAACCTATTCATAGTCATCAGAGTGGCTTGTTTAAGTTCCCTCCCCCTTTAACCGAATTTCTTTCACATTGCTTGGTTTGCTATGACAGCATAAAAATAGTTATTGGTGCAGCCAGAGTGGCTTGTTCCACACCCATCCATGAATTCGCTTCACATGCTTTTTCCTATAATAATTATAATGCTTAGATTACCCTTGCAGTTATCAGAGTGGCTTGTTTTGGCTTGGCTTGTTTTCTTAACCTCTGCCCGAATCTATATACAACCGTGGTGACTCGTGCCACACCCATTTATGAATTCGTTTCACATGCTTTTTCCTATATAATGCTAGATTGCACCTGAAGTGATCAGAGTGGCTTGTTTTGGCTTGGCTTGTTTTCTTAACCTCTGCCCGAATCTATATACAACCATGTTGACTCGTTCCACACCCATTTATGAATTCGCTTCACATACTTTTCCCATATAATGATAGATTTCACCCTCTTACTATTGGTAGTGATCAGAGTGGCTTGTTTTCTTAACCTCTGCCCCATTAACCGGAATTTACAACCATAGTGACTCGTTCCACACCCATTTATGAATTCGCTTCACATACTTTTCCCATATAATGATAGATTGCACCCTCTTACTATTGGTAGTGATCAGAGTGGCTTGTTTTCTTAACCTCTGCCCCATTAACCGGAATTTACAACCATAGTGACTTGTTCCACACCCATTCATGAATTCGCTTCACATGCTTAAATTCCTGTAGCTCATGCGAGTATCATCCTATTGCAACCTATTCATAGTCATCAGAGTGGCTTGTTTAAGTTCCCTCCCCCTTTAACCGAATTTCTTTCACATTGCTTGGTTTGCTATGACAGCATAAAAATAGTTATTGGTGCAGCCAGAGTGGCTTGTTCCACACCCATCCATGAATTCGCTTCACATGCTTTTTCCTATATAATGCTTAGATTACCCTTGCAGTTATCAGAGTGGCTTGTTTTGGCAAGGCTTGTTTTCTTAGGATAACCTCTCTCCCCCCGACTACAGTTGATATAATATTGCTTGCTCGCGTCGCGGATTGAAAGGAGTGTGTCGATTTGGGCGGAATTACGCATGCGTGCAGAAGAGTTGCTGAAAAACACCGATCGGGCGCAGAAGCCGAATTCGCCACTAAAGACCCATTGCAAAACCACGCCTACTTCCGGCTTATTTGCGGTTGCTACGCCGCCATGTTGGAGGGCGCAGCACGGCCATCGAAATTCCTCACGACGTAGATGCTCGTCTTTTCAGCGACGATTAAGAGATGGAGAGCTGGAGTCGGCAAGGCAACGTTGGACTACATACTACCGTTCCGTTGCTACTTTCTTCTTGTAGTTTCACTTCGTATGCGCAAGCTGCCTTTACTCAACCTAATATGACAACGCCATAATAACGTCTGTTACTTGCTGGAACATTTTACATACGTAGCTATATTATCGCTAGAAATGATGATGGTTATGTATATATACTTCCGTTACAGTACACTTAATTAAGGCTCGCTCCGCTCACCCGAAGCATTTCTGTTGTTAACCCTCCGCGCGCATGCGCAGCGATGGTTAGGGTACTACTTGTCTGTGAGTGTGTGTGTTTGTGTGACTACGCGCAACGGGACCACTGGTGCAAATAGCCAAGCCCATCGATTTAGCTGTATCGCGCATGCGCAGTTAGCCGAGGGTTTGCACTCTTCACTTTTGCGCATGGTCTATTTGCGGAGAGGAGGGAGAAGACTATGATTGCATGTGTTATACAGGAACCAAGAATGTTTTTCTTAACATGCTAATAGTGATGTTTGTCAAGCATTGTCTGGTATTGAAGAAAAAGAAGTATGTTTTAGTGTATTCTTGACAAAAGGTGTATAATGTGTCTGATTAATGGGGTGAGTGTAGGTGATGGAGCTGGATGGTGAAAGTCTTTCTGTCGAGACCCTAATGAAAATAGGAGAAGGGGCATGTAAAGTTAAGGTGTGTACATATTGTACCACATAATTGGCTATACTATTGAGTTTTGACACAGATCTCGGAAGCAGCAATTTCCAGGGTAAAGGCGTCAAGAGAGGTTGTGGATGATATGGTTGCCTCAAATAAAGGTCGCTTACTGCTATATTATATTATTGAGGTCAACTTAAGTTTTGCTCTGAACTTTTGCTTTGCAGTGGTGTATGGAGTTACGACAGGTTTTGGAAAATTTGAAGATGTTGTCATATCTCAACAGCAGACAGGGTAAACTCACGCTGCTGTTCAAACTTCTAATCACTTGTTGGTTTTTTGTTTTGATCCAGTGAACTGCAAGAGAACCTGATACGCTCACATGCAGCAGGTGTTGGACTTCCTCTTACTCCTCAGCAAACACGAAGAATGTTAGCACTCCGACTTAATGTGCTCCTAAAAGGATGCAGGTAGGAGAGAAGATGAGACATATTTTGTTTAATGCATACTTGTGCTCCTTTAGTGGAGCACGACTGGAGACAGTGCGAAAGCTGGAAGCTGCACTGAATGGTATGGAAAAACCAAATAGCAGCTTCAGATGCTCTTATTTACTAGCACGTCATTACATGATACAAAAACATCCATCAAATAGCTTACCTACAAACACAACAACTTTGCTTTCTAATTATACCGAAGCACAGAAGAGAGACCAACTATGGCACATCATGTGATTGCAGGCTGGCAGATCCTCAGAAGCTTTTCGGTTTCTAGAACCTACACCCAGCACAAACTCACCACTCCAGTTCTCAGGCTAATTTTGTCTCCTCGCTCATATTATATACTTTGTGTGTATTACACTTAAGTATATATAATTGTGCTCCTTAACCCACAGCCTCATGTTTGTCTCTGGTTCCTGAGAAAGGGACTGTTGGTGCCAGTGGAGATCTTGCCCCGCTCTCTCATTTGGCGCTGGGTCTCATGGGAGAGGGACTTATGTGGAGTCCTTCTAGTGGCTGGGCCAAAGCTGCAGATGTCTGTTTACACACACACACACAACACCATCATGTGTTACACCTTTGATTATCACTAGAGTAAAATACATCACCCAGGATCGCGGCAGCTCAGTGTCAAAATTACATGTATTTTTAGATTTACCAGGGTACCCACTTCTGCTTCAGTGTTTTGCGCTTGTGCAGCCCTAGCGTATCACATTGTAATTACACAGTCTCACTCATACAAACTCAAGAGCAGGACATGGATGCCCAGCCTTGAGAACTGGGTACGGTGGGTTAAAGATCTTTTATGGCTAGCCAACTCTCCCCACACATCCAATGTCACAAACTCTCGCGTAAAATCTACAGCTTACAGCACTGTATTAAAATAATAACAATCACATACCTTAGGCTCTGTGGGGGACTTGCAATCCTATGGTTCTACTAACGCAAAGTGGGGTATTTATACAGGACAGTTGTGATGCCATAGCCTCTGGTCTTATTGTGTTTGTGTTTGGTCACTTTCCTTTCTCCCCCTTTCCCTCCCCTTTCTCCTCTACCACCCCACAAACACACACACAGACAGTAAAAATCCCCTTTGCCATCCCTATAATTGTAGTAAAAAACCACGCGCATGCTCAGCCGCCCACGCAATAGTTGAGTTACCAGCACCAGCGAGAAAAACTGACAATACTGCGTACATACCAGACTCCGTTACAAGGGAGTGGTCCCACCTCAGTGGTGGCACAGGTCGGGATATTAAAGGGACCGAAACCTGTGACCTACATGACCCCTGATGAGTGGTGCTTATACAAACAAGACAAGCCTACCTACTGACGTTAGAACATGTGACACATGGGCGCATCTGACTGCTGTGGGAGGATAGTGGGTGGAGTAGCAATGTAGAAGTTCTCGAGCCTGTGCTCAATACTTACCCATGAGTATACTTAATGCGTTTATGCTAGTGGGGTGTGTGGAGTTGTGCTGGCCTGGTTGTGCTGGAGTAGGTAAACATCAATATGTGATGCATGAGGGACTGTGTGTTGTGTGACGCTGACAAAAGCCTTTCCGAATTCTAATCACTATGTTCCCCTTCTCAAATTCCCTCCCTGGCTTATGATACCATCCATACCTAACACACACACTAATCAGTATAACGATAACTTTAGCTATGCATGCGAGAAATAAGAGATTGTAAGCTGGTGACCTTTTAAATTCGAATGCAGGTGTGCTTGCATTCAAAATGTTTAGATGATCATGCAATGTAGTAACTATAATAATACAGATAGATTTTGTAACCCTTAGCCAGCCACGGGCAATATATACCCAGAGCCTCCATAAGTCCACATAGGGCAATAATACTAGGCTTTAGTACAATTTCTGCTTATTTAAGGAGATACCCATGACGCTAAAGGGTTTTTAAAGAATGGCTGCATTGTATTCCACAGGTTCTGACTGCTCATGGTCTCTCTCCTATATCCCTGGAAGCAAAAGAGGTGGGTATAAAAATATACTGTATAAACACATCAAGCAGTAGTGAAAATGTCCTCATTAGGGTTTGGCTCTGATCAATGGGACTCAGTTGATCACAGGATTGGGTATTGAGGCACTTGCCAGGGCTGAGCTCATTACAAAAGAGGCTGATGTTGTGGCTGCCCTCACTCTTGAAGTCCTCCAAGGAACAACTCGTGCTTTTGACTATGGTATTTCTTTATAAGGTGTAGCTCATCTTTAGTACAAATAATAGGGTACCAGAGGTTATCGTGTGTGACACTTGGGTACTTTGTGATCGCTTTAATTGCAGATGTTCATGCCAAGAAGCCACACTGTGGACAACAGATGGTTGCAGGCAGACTGCGTGCACTGCTTCACTCCAACATCCATCCATCAGAAATTACTGGTTAGAATCATAATTATTGTTGAGCAAACTGGAAAGCAGCCAACCTATTGGTCATCTCAATTAATAGAGATTCTGCATCCAGTGAAGTTGCTGTAACAGTCTTGACAAAATGTGCATGGGCAAAACACAGCAGTTCATAGGCTGTGCTATATAGATAGCTAGTGTTGGCTCACCATGTTGTTCATTGAAGTAACTCTGTATCTCTCGCAGCCAATCATCAAAACAAGCACCGAGTGCAGGATGCATATACTCTTCGATGCATGCCTCAAGTCCATGGCATTGTAACAGACACACTCACATTTGTCCGAGGAATCCTTACCACTGAGATGAACTCTGCCCTCGACAATCCGGTAGGCACATAATTGTGTGCATTTGATTCGATGTGTCTTGTGGTATAGATGGTGATTGCCGAGAGACGTGAGTTGATTTCTGCAGGAAATTTTCATGGAGAATACCCAGCAAAGGTAGGTTCACTCACTGATTAATAATCCATGACTGTGCTTTCTATCAACTATTAATGACAGGTACTGGACTATCTGGCCATTGCAGTACATGAGTTAGCCAACATCAGCGAGAGAAGACAAGACAGAATGATGACCCCTTGTAAGAGACTCTCATTTGTAAAGTACAGTCAGTGCTGTTATGTCCTCTCATATATAGCTCTAAGCAAAGCTGAGAATGTAGCTGGTAAACATGTGGAGATTCCAGCCTTTGTGACACCTGGTGGTGGATTAAACAATGGTTTCATGATTGCCCACTGTACTTCAGCAGCACTAGGTGAGCACTCCCTCTCAGACTGACGCACTCTTACATGTATATGTATGTCACAGTGTCTGAGAATAAGGTGTTAACTCATCCATCCTCTGTTGACTCCATTACTACTTCGGCTGGACAGGAAGACCATGTGTCTATGGGTGGCTTTGCTGCTAGGAAGGCAATCAGGTTTTCTCTTTCTCTTTTGCTCTCTGCATCTTTCACCCGTGTCCCTCTCTACGAATCATGCAGTGTGGTTTCCAATGTGGAACAGGTTTTGGCCATAGAATTGCTGGCTGCCTGTCAGGCATTGGAGTTTCACAGGCCAAGGAAAACGACTGCCCCGCTGGAGGAGGTTTATAAGCTTGTCCGCACTGTTGTAAGGTGGGCTAACTATCCCCTCTGAAATTGTGTAGCAATATGTAACGATCCCTTGGCATAACCCAGACAGTAGAATAAAGGAATAAGTAGGGCTAGTTTTTCGTCTATCACTCCTGAGTTGCTTACCTCCAGCCTTCCAGGCATAGTGAGGAAAGCTATTGTCAATCCATTATGTGAAGGCACCTTTTACCATTATGTGTTAGCATGTCTATAGTGCACACATTCTCCTCCTCTCAGTTCTATATAGGACACCAGATTTGTCTGGTGCTCCTTCGGTACATCCTTTTTTTCATAATACCCTTCCCGTTATTTTTTTTCTTTTTCGTCTTTATATATTCATGTACTATAAAGCAAAGATAACAAATTACTTCCTAATCTAGGCCATGGGACAAGGATCGGTACATGACACCTGACATTGAGGCAGCAACCCAACTCCTGAGGGGGGGCAAAGTCTGGGCAGCAGTGGAACCCTACATCAACCACTACAGGGCTGCCTCAAATGAGCCACCACCAAAGTAAAAAAGGAGAGATAAACATGACTACAATAGCTATAGTGTGTAGTTGACTAGCATTAGTCAATAGCTCGTTTAGGATGTAGTGTAGTACAGTTGACTTGTACTGTGAGTTGTAAAATACAGATGATAGTGTTATTAGCGTTGGAAAGAGTTTTACTTTTAGCACTGATCTGTACATGTATTAACCCTCGGCGCGCATGCGCAGCGAGGGTTACAGTACTTGGTCTAGTCTGTGTGTCGCTGTCTGTCTGTCTGTCTGTGTGTCTGTTACCACGTTTTCTGCCACCACGCGCAAAAAAGCGACACCAACGGCTGGCTGGATCAAGTGTAGAGAAAGGACCCCGCGCGCAACGACTTACAGAAGCCGCACAAGTGACCGCGCCCCCACGCCCCCACGCCGTCATCGGACCTCGTCTAGCATGCTGATTGGGGTCAAGTGTAGAGAACGGACCCAGCGCGCGACGACTTCCAGAAGCCGCACAGGATGCTTGCCGCCCGGATGGATCATGATCGGAGCCGGACATCGTTTAGGGCTAGGGCTAGGGCTAGGGAATCGGCAGATTCAACCAATCGATGCCATTTCCTGCATTCCATTCCTTCTCTTCTTTTACTCACCACTGAAGAGGACTCCAGCTGCAGTCGAAACGTCTGGTGAAAATTCTGACTAGAGTATTTCTGAGAACCCAGAGTCTTTAGTGGATTGAAACAAGGGTATGCATTAAAGTGTAGGTTTTAGGGTGTGGATGATCTAGATATGTGGTAGTATCTTCTCATGTGTGTGTGGTCTGAGAGTAAACCTTCTAGGGTGGGCATTGCCACAATAAACAGTTCTTGTGCTATCCAAGCCTGTAGTTACAACTTCACAAAATTGATATTATCACTAAAGCACCTGAATTATTATTATACAGGTATATACTTATTAGTAGGTGACAAAAGCTTCAGGGTGTGAGCTGAGATGCACAGTGACAATCAAACGCTCAATAAACCACGCAGGTAGCATCAAAATGTGGCAGTAGCTAAGCAAAACACTCTGTAAATACCTGCTCATTGCGGTGGTGAAAGGACTTGACAGTAAAGTGTGACCTCGGTGGATGATGCTACATTTTGTTTGCATTGTCAATTATCGGTTGTATAGGTATAGGCATTGGGAAACATCCAGGGTTTTATAATACGTCATGTAAGCGTACAACACCAGACCGATTCACTTTTGTTAAGGCCTAAACAACTTCAGCAACTCCATGCACATGCCCTATGTACACAAACCCACAACATGAATGCATTGTTGCATGGTGGCGGATTTTTCATGAGGCTGGCATTTGTAGAAAGACCAACATTTTCGCAGGAATAATGAAAAGCACTAAAATGCAAACCCTCGGCGAACTGCGCATGCGCGGTACCACTAATTGATGGGCTGGGCTTTTCTTTTCTTTACTCGTTGTATCCCGCTAGTAGCCCGCGGAGTCTGGCACGGGCTAGCTACAGTAGTAGATTGCATGCGGGAGTTGATACATGCCCTTCGTTGTGACTTCTTGTGCCTTCAAGATACACAGAGCCTCTGCTAATTACAATATTGGCTTGTTCACTTGGTTTTCACGCCATAACTTTAGAACGCAGTAGTTTTACGAAAATCGCCTTTTTTAAAATCAACCCAGTGTAGTAGTTAACCCGATCATATCGCTATTTACCTGATTTCGTGCGCGCGGTGGCAGAGAACGTGGTAACAGACAGACGGACAGACAGACGGCAAACAACTATCGTAACCCTCACTGCGCATGCGCGCCGAGGGTTAACCACAGTTTATTTCTGCCATATAAGGAAAGGAATGCTGGGTTTTCCATAGAACAAGCATCAGTATTATTTTATGTATGTAGCCTTATGCAACACTGGGGATGAATGGAGAGTTGACAAAACAGTGGGTGTTTGATCAGAGAGATGCCACCTGCATTTGTTGGCCAGTATGTCCTGCCACACCACGTAGCTAATCTATTTTGAGCCAGCTCCCTTCTCGACTATGGTTAAAGTGTATGGACAATATAGCTAGTGTACGCCCAGTATAGCTACATATGTATATTAGACCTTGAATTTTGCACAATTACCCCCAGCCGTATGAGAAATTCTCAGCTCAAGTTTCACAAGAAAATCATATTACTGCTGTGATAGGCTTCACTATCACATGGAACACTCGAATACCATACGTGAAATACCATGTTCACATGCATTTTGTTAGTTTTGCAACTTCCGACAGTGTAGGTGTTGGCATGGGCATGAATTGTCAGTGTATACTTCAGAATATAAGACACATGATGTCATGATGTGGGCATGCAGTTGTCACATACAATAATAATTATGTGGACCAATCATGGTATCCAAGTCGATTGAAACTGTGCCAACAACTTCAATCAGTATCCACTAAGGACGTAATAATATGTAGACTAGCACATTACATACTCTTACACTGCACGAGGAAGGTTCGATTTGAAACTCCCATGACAATCAATGTCTTGTCAGCAACATACTTACGGTCAAAACCTAGCCTTTGTACCATACAGTGCATTTGTAATACACAGTGGTCCATGCATTGCAAAAAACATGTCAAGACTGTATGTCAATTCCAGGAAAGCTGTTGAGGTGGTGGTGAGTATGTACACATACTGTATATTGTACACTTAAGTAGGGTTCTCTATTTCACTCAGTACAGTTCAGCCCACTTCTACGGTATGTAAGTACACAAAGATAGGCTATCAATAAAAGTCCCCAAATACTGAACAGTTTGTGCTGTTCACGATTGACAGTTTATGGGGTCTCAAACTTTCCGTGCATAAACTACATGTATGTGAGTGTAATGCCATGATGTAACATGCAAAATACACATGTGTCAATGATGAGGTAACCAGGTAGAAAGGCACACAAGTCAACTGAACCCTGGGGGTGGACATGATTATCCAGTTTATGACAGAATTGCAACATCCACCAATTGTCTTTATGCACGTTGTAGCTATCAAGTGACGAGCACACGGAAAGCTTCAACACTGGTGCCGTGCACATATTGAGGGGAAATGCATGTCATGCACAATTAGCAGTAGTGACAAGTTTACTCTGCACAGGTTGTCAAGTCATCATAACACATCAGTCCCAACTTAAGATAAAATTCCATAGACTGTATACATAAGGTGCATGGTCATTATTATACAGTTATAACAATTTTCTCCCAAAACGATGTTAGAGTACTTCTGTAAGTTTGACAGGAAATACCTTCCTGTCAAACTTACAGAAGTACTTTAACATCCTTTTGGGAGAAATCGTTCTAACTTCCGTTGAGTTGAGGTAAGCCTATGCTAATTAGTATATTGGCTTGTTCCACTGCTTAATAATACTGTATATATGTCAATCTGCATAGTTAGTGTGAAAGAATGTGTAGCTAGCTCTGTAGTTTTGAGAAAAACAGCATAAGACAAATAGTGAGTAGCTATCCTTCAAGAATCAGGCAGCTGTTATGTTGATATGCACAACGCATTGAGACAAAACAATGAGCCGAAACAAACACTACAGCAGTCAATACAATTAATTTTGCGACCCCAAGGTGACGTATAGTTGCTAACAAGACCACTACACCTCCGTGGTAGGCTTCCACAATAGACCATTTACTATACCACCACCAGCAACCTAGTCCTGACGGTATTAAATAGTCATCGTATTATCTCGCTGCGCATGCGCGCCGAGGGTTAATAAGGATGTGACGGGGATTATTGTACTTGTTATGCCACAAACACACTGCAAACAATGAAGTTGCAAAAACGAAATGAAGCAGAGCTTCACTAATTTTACATCTTAGGTAAGAAGGTAAGGTAAAGGTATTATTTTCGCCTGGTAGCTGAACGTTACCAATGTCAGACAAAGAATATGAGGTGGTGAGACAAAACAATGAGCAAAAACAAACACTACATCAGTCAATACTATTTATAGTACAATGTTTGAGTAATTTCATATAATAGTCACATTGAGTGAAATTGTCATGCTGGGAAATCAGAAACGACCCGTGGTGTCATGAAAACCGGTGCTTGTGGTTGAAGCACGTCTTTTCCAGTGGTAGTAAACACAGCAGAGAACAACTGATATTACTACTATTACTATGAAAATCACGCCTCCAATAATTCCACCAGTAATTGCAAGACCGTTACCTGTGTAAAGATGTGTGTGAATACAGAGACGTACTATGAACAGCGATTAAAACACCATTAGCTAAGATAGAGATGCTCTGGACTATGCCCACTGAGCAATCAGGCAGTTGGTAGGTATCACCAAGAGCGCACCAGCCCAGCATAGCAAGGCGACGGAACACGCCACAAGAATAGCATACTTTGATCAGTCCATTTCCATAATTATTATATAGTCCTACCACTGAGTCTTATACAGTAAATTGAAGTGACAGTGTTAGGGACCATGTTGTAGTACGTAGCTCCGTGCTACATGCAACTTATGTATTCCACATGTAGTGCAAGGGCACGCACCTACATACCAAAACTATTTTTGTGAGCTAAGGGTGAATAAACTCACGTATACAGGGATCATCACAGTCAACTTCTTCACTATTGCATTCACACCTTGCTGAACAAAAAAATTATAGTAACTAAAAGACATTCAAGCTGTTTGTACATCATCTTACACTGTGAAAGTGTCCATTGAAAGGAGCAGAGGACAATAACCAACACACAAACTGATTGCGTTGCCTTCATGTCACTCTTCGTTATAAGCTGAATGCGCAAGAGTCTCCGTATATACAGTATCTAGTTTGATGGTTAATATCAAATGCAGTTGAGCTGAAATTCACCTTGTTCCAGTGAGAGAAATGATAAAGTCAATTGAAAGTCAGCCAAGCAGCAAACCCCCGACAAGCCCCCGGTTCAGCAAACTCTGGTTTACGAAGCTGGCAACCTATGAACCATGAAGCAAATGGAGTGTGAGTGTGCTAGCTATATCTAGTAGGTCTCGTTGTCTAGGTATATATGTACACTGAAACCTGCCCCGTCGAGTGCATTGCGCGTAGTTGGTAATAGCTAATTACATTACCGGACGGATGTAGCGGGAAAGTTCAGCATTCCGAGTTGGTTTCGGCCGGGGCATGGCATTAGGCGATTCGGTAAACAGAAGCATCACGCGTTGAGCTGCAGGCGGTGCGCAGAATACCCCGCGGTAGCCGAGGGCGTCACTCAAGTGCGCACTGCAGCACTAGTCTGGATACTCGTTACTGCGCCGCGAGGGTATACGGTAGTTGGGTTGGGTTGTCTGTCTTCTGCCCGTCTGTTATTCAACATCTCACTTCTCGAATGTTTTTTCGTCTCACAAACAATACTACCCACTTAACGGGCAATGAAAGTCAGAAATGTTGTGCGGTTTTCTCTGAAAATGCTCCGTTGCAAAGCTAGAGCGCGCCCAGCATTTTTGCCTGGCCATTTTTACTCTGCGGGAACGTGCATGCGCATTATACTAGACCACGTGGTAGAAAGTAGAAGAAGGTCTCCAGTTCTGTGAGTTGCTCTTTGCAGTTACTATCATGCCTCCGAGTAAGGTATGCCCACAGTGTGAAGCTATTGTACCAATGTGTGTAAATCTTGCCAACATGTGTTTCAAGCCACGAGAAAAGCAGAGCCTGATATGAAGGGGTGCAGAAATTTGCACTTAAAATCTGTCTCAGGCAGTGGCACCTACCTTACAAGCAATATATCTCCTACCTAACCTGCGATTTTGAACAACATATGTGACTTTCCAGATTTTCCACTACAGAGGAGGACTTTCAATTATCCCCACAGAAGTACTTCTACATTTGTTTTGATGAAAGCAAAGTCTAACTATATTCATTCTTTCCACATACCTCTAACCTTTACCTCCCTCTGTATCTTCCGCCACATCTCTATTATCATTTAAACACAACTTATCCAATCACTTGAGCACAATGTCTTAATCCTTATCACAATAATTATTATGGGTACATGTTCCATCATAGTGTTTACCACTAATACATGTATTGCCATTGCATAGTGCATAAATGTTTTTATAGGAAAAAAAAGATTTGCCAGGCAAAGCCATGAAACATAACCATTGATGCAGCTACCAGGCATGAAACTTTCACCATACACCAGCAAGAAAAGCCGTGGCTTGGGCTATGTTATCAATTAGTGATACCACGCATGGGCAGTTCGCTGAGGGTTTGCACTTTAGTGCTTTTAGGAACTTTCATACCTTCACGGTGCGCCTTACGCTGAATTCAAGCACAGGTATTACCACTTGCCATTGCTAACTCTCAGATGTCTACATGTGACTATAATCAATAATACTCACTGAAGCCAGTGGTAGCTATGTTTCGGTGTAAACAATGCCCTATTACTGCACGCAGTCATGTATAGGTATAATATGCAGGTATGTTTTTGGGACTCTGAAAGGTTTTAAGGCTTGACCCTGACACATGACTTAGAGTCAACCGTGCATGCTCCATTCCCTATGCATTGAGGGACAAAGTTGAGAAACTAGAGCTACAGTGCCTCCACGAAGAGAGTAGAACCAGTGGAATTTGGCGAGTGGCCTGCCGCTGTCCTGAAACACTGTCCGTATTTGTGGTTGCTTTAGTGTCATTGTCAACCCAGTTTCTTCTGAGGTTCCAATTCCAAAGGTTGAGGACCTTTTGTGAGGCTGAGCAAGCCCGTTTAGACAGGGCTAGGCTTAGAGTGAAAAATGTGAGTTCATGCATGAATACAAGCTTAGGTCACAGAATACATGCTGATTTTCTTCACCCATAGCCAGTTCCTACCCAACCTGTCAACACTCCTACACCTATTGTATTAGAAAAGAAGTTGACTGGAAATGGGGTGCTGCTCAAACTAAGTCTTAACTCCTTGCTTAGAAGAGTATCTCGCTCTCTTTGATTCAGCTTTTGAGCTTACTCTGGCTTATGATCCCTCAGCTTATGGTCTATGGACAGTTATGATTTTATTTTAAGCGGGACAAAAAATTAGTGCAGTCACAACAAGCGCACAATTCATCGGCTTAGTTGCGACATTTCCATTCATGCTACATTAGGGACAGACAAACACACACACACCACAGTGAACTCATGCACGCTGCACAATAAGTTGTATTCATTGCATGACAAACGATTGCAGAGAGCCCATAGCTTACTCGGCACGTACACTCCCAGCTATGATTATAACGAGAACAGTCTCAGCTGGAGAAGGAAGGTCTTGCCGGTATATTGCCATTATGTGTGTTTAGCCGTTCCTTTGAGCTAGTTACAGCTAGCTACAAGCCTCTGCTGGGTTTACTGAAAGGGTATTGTGCTACATCCTCTCGTATCAAATGTTGGTATTTGCCAGGCAAAGCCGTGAAACGCATGCGATTTTCTTCACCCATAGCCAGTTCCTACCCAACCTGTCAACACTCCTACACCTAGGCATGAAACTTTCACCATACACCAGCAAGAAAAGCCGTGGCTTGGGCTATGTTATCAATTAGTGATACCACGCATGGGCAGTTCGCTGAGGGTTTGCACTTTAGTGCTTTTAGGAACTTTCATACCTTCACGGTGCGCCTTACGCTGAATTCAAGCACAGGTATTACCACTTGCCATTGCTAACTCTCAGATGTCTACATGTGACTATAATTCACTGAAGCCAGTGTGGTAGCTATGTTTTGGTGTAAACAATGCCTTAATACGGCACGTAGTCCTGTATAGGTATAATAAATTATGCAGGTATGTTTTTGGGACTCTGCTTGACCCTGACACACAACTTAGAGTCAACCCTGCATGCTCCATTCCCTATTCATTAGTACATGCAAACGACCGCAAATGACACACAGATATGTAGGTGCGTTTGCTAACATGTGGTTGCCTTCTGATGTAGGGTGTCAGAGGAGTCAAGGGAGTGAAGGGAGTCAAGGGAGTCTAGGGAGTCCAGAGAGTCAAGGGAGTCAAGGGAGTCCAGAGAGTCAAGGGAGTCCAGGGAATAAAACGGAGTTATGGGAGTGTACATTAGGTTTTCACTCCCTGTCAACATGTACTTTAGCAGTATTACAATTATGTGTATGTGTGAGTGTGTGTTTGTATTTCTCAGATGCTGGCTCTTTGCTTGAGGTCACAGTGAGTATATTCACATCACCTCCTTCTTTGCGTCGTCCTTGTAATTAGTACTCACAGTGTTGTAAAGCATAGTAATAAAGGAGGAGTTCTGATTCACCATTTTTGGGTAGTGTATCTCCTTAAATAAGCACAAATTAATGTATAACATTAACGCCTAGTATTATAGTCTATATGCTCTGGGCATATTATTACAATTATATATGCCCGTGGCTTGCTAAAGGTTAAATAAGTAATTCTCGGCAATCCTTGGGAATACTTAGTATTATGGGACTTGAAAGAATAGCTAAGGGATGCATCTTCCACCACTTGTTGGGACAATCCCAGGCAGTCCCCTCAATACCTATACAGTATCCCGGATTCCTGGGACCATCCCAAGTAGTCCCCTCTACACCTGCCAGTCCCAGGATACATAGTATCCCGGGATTCCTTGCAGGGTTTCATCTACAGGGGGGCAGGGGGGAAGCTTCTCCTTAAATAGCTCAGTAATCCTTGGCAATATTTGGGAATACTTAGTGTTATGGGACTTGCTAAGGGATAGTGCATCTTCCACCACTTGTTGGGACAATCCCAGGCAGTCAATACCTATACAGTATCCTGGATTCTGGGATCATCCCTAGTAGTCCAGTCTACACCTGCCAGTCCCAGGATACATATATAGTATCCTGGGATTCCTTGCAGGGTTTCATCTACAGGGGGCAGGGGGGAAGCTTCCCCTCAAACTTCTCCATTCATTTTTATATTTTGCCAACTACTTTACAACACAATTCTACACTATTTTGTTCTTTCCAGTGGGTAATAATACATTCATAATTACTGTTAGCACGTGGTAGTGATCTCTAATTAGAAACTGACACCTACTTTTAATTATCTCTTGTGCTAGCAGCACTGATGAGGGAGTGGTACTTCCAAATTCCAAACTCGAGATGAAACCCTGCCTTGGACTATCCCAAGTAGTACCCTCTACAGGTATAGCTACACCTTCCAGACCCAGTTCCCAAACTTTCCAATGGTATATAGCACGCATAGTGATGAAACTTGGTACACATGTATAGGTTATACGATGGCGGCGCGTGGTTTACTGGTTTTACATGAGGACGACATTATAACTTAACCAGCCACTGATATCTGTCCAGGGCTTGCATAAGTCCGTAAGCATTGACTAGGCTAATCTACATAATCTACGCATCTACGTTGTTTGGACTAGCTAGAATTCTTTTGATCTTACTCTCAGTCATCATACAAATGCCTATTATATCATTTCCATGACGATTAAATGCTTCCATCATGACCGAATATTGTGTGACAAAGCCTTAGGCAATTTTATTAAAAACTATTTTTCACTCCTCAAACTTGCTAACTGTAGCACGCATGGAGGTGGAACTTGGTGCGCATGTGAATTACTTTTCCATGACGACCACAACAACAAATAGCCTCAGGCACTTTTCTTTAAAATTACTTCTTCACTCCTCAAACTTGCTGACTGTAGCACGCATGGAGGTGAAACTTGGTACGCATGTAAAAATTATGAGGTAGAAAGGCAAAGGCACAACAAACAAATCAACTAAACCCAGGACAGCTCTTTTTTTCAAGGAAAAATAAAGAGCTGCCCTAGGTGGGATTCTACCCGGGCAACTCAGCTAGTAGGGGTTCAAATCTACATATCGTTTCGACAACCACAACCACAAATACCTCAGGCACTTTTCTTCAAAATTACATGTTCACTCCTCAAACTCAGTAATGATAGCTACCACACATGGAGATGAAACTTGGTATGCATGCATGTAACATCATTTCCATGACAACCACTTTGTTTGAACAACAACAAATAGCCTCATGGAATTTTCTTTAAAAATTACTTTACTTCTCAAACTCGCTAAATGTAGCACGCATGGAGATCAAACTTGGTACACATGCGTATTACCATGAAAACTACATGTTTCTCTGACGACTACGTCATATTGTTCAAATAGCTTCAGGCACTTCTCCTCAAACTTGCTAACGGTAGCACGCATGGAGATGAAACTTGGTATGCATGCATGTTACATCATTTCCATGACAAATCCATGTTCCATGACGACCACATATTGTTTGAACTAGCCTCAGGCACTCTTCACTCCTTAGTAGCACTCATGGAGATGAAACTTGGTACGAATGCGTATGAGATCGTTTCCATGAAGACCACAAATTACTTGAACAATGAAAAGCACTGAAGTGCAAACCCTCGGTGCATTGTGACGCGCACGCGTAAGTAAACACATGGGCAGTACCACTAATTGATGGGCTGGGTTTAGTTTTAGCTGTTACTCGTGGTCTCTTGCAGGCTCGCGCAGAGTCTGACGCGGACTAACTACAATACTAGATAGCATACGAGAGGCGATACACGCCCTTCGTAGCATCTTCTGGTGCCTCCGAGGTACGCAGAGCACGCGGATCGATCAGACCGCGGTAAGCCATCCCGCCCGTTGCGTATTTGCATATTGCCTTTTTCGCGCTCTAGCTTTGCAACGGAGCAGTTTCAGAGAAAACCCCACATATTTTCTGACCTTCGTTGCCCGTTAAGCAGGTCGTATCCTTTGTGAGACGAACAAACACCCGAGAAGTGAGATGTAGAGTAACGACAGACAGACAGACCCAACTACTGTAACCCTCGCTGCGCATGCGCGCCGAGGGTTAACTACAAATAGCCTCAGGCATTTACCGCAGAACACATGGAGATGAAACTTGGTACTCATGCGTGTTACATCATTTTCATGACGACAACAGCACTTTTTCTATAATTATTATTAATTTTTATAGGGGGCTTGCCCCCTTTCACAGAGATAATACGTTAGTATATTATAAAAATGAGTTGAGACAAATAAATTAAAATCCTACCAATAAAAAAAAAGAGGCATAGGGATGGTATATGTAAAAGGAAATGGAGACCAGATTGGGATGGGATATATGAAGCATTGTTAATGAAAAGATTTGAGTACGCTGACACCCCCAACCCCATCACACAATCCCTCTATTATTGCTTAGGTGAAGTATTACCATTACCATACTCTGAACTTATAAGGTCATGCTACTGAGCAACCAACACCGTTATAGAGTCCAATTAATTCGCACGGATTTTTAATTCACTTGTATGTGACGCCAGCTTGAATTCTATGGCACATACATTCCTAAAAATCCTCTAATTGCATGCAATTTAAATGCTGACATAAAGACAATCACCACCATTCATATCAAAGTTAGAGTGGATAAAAAGCATCAACAATAGTTGTGTTTTAACATCTTCATTTGCAGGTTTCTGAAAACTAAAAAGAATTCTGATGGTTGGTAGCTAGGTAGGTTTGAGATGCTCACAGTCATAGAATCTTGGTCTTGTGCCACCATCAATGTCATAAAGAATGACTACATTACAGCTGTAGGTGATGTTGGCCTGACGTTTACTGCAGCGGCAGAAAAAATGGTTGCATAAGTCGAATTTCTTCTATGAATGTGGTGTTTGTGGGATAATGGTAAGTAATCCGAAGTCTCTGATGTGTTTGCTTTGCACCGCACACTCGAGGGATGAAGGTAGTAGGTGTCGAGGGAGAAGAGTAAAGGATCTTCCGAAACATATCGCACGGAGCTAAACGCAGAGAAAGAAGCAGTAACTCCATCGAATGTAGGTATAGGAATAAATGATGTATGCCAATTTATTACTCACTATACTCAGAACGCTTCATGCACCCAACCACACTCTTTAACCAACATTGCTTACTTGTGCGTCACATGGCTATATACCTGCATAATCTGGACACTTTTTTTCATCGAAGCATGTGTGTTCAAAGTCTACGATTGCCAGTGGGCAGCTTGATCAGCAGCAAAGGGCTTATTCTCACTAACAGATAAATCTCCTTGATATTAAGTTTAATGTTTTAGATTATTTACACACGTTTTAAAATAATCGGTTCATAATAATTGTTATGGGCAACAGAGGGGTATACATAGTGTAAAGTGGCAGTCATAATACTCTCCTTCCAACTAGTTAGTTCCCACGAGCACTGTTTTTAATGTTAGCTACTCTCACCAGAGACGTGACCATGGTCATAGAGACCAAAATGGTGGATCTTCTTCTCTCCATTCTCATCAGGAATGATGCAACTGTACACTCCCTCAGCTTCACTGCTGAACTGGACACCTGGTAGCATAAAAGGAGTGGGAGTCTGAGGCAAGTGGCCGAAAGTCCAAAGGTTAAAGAAAAAAGGGGTGATTACATTGAATAGGCACAAAATACTTCCTGCCTGACACCATCCTTCCTTCTTTGGAAATCAAAGTAGTAGCGAGAGCGAGCGGTATCTGCTCGAGCAATCCTGTATAGCTTAGGCTTATTTCCAACTTTCACCTTCGAACCATGAGGATTGGGAAGTGGTATATACAGCCTCGGTCAGTCACGGAAGATCGCAGCGAATGCCGTCGAATGGAGGAAAGTTCTCTTGCTCAGAGGAGGACCAGTAGCGTCTCGTGATTCTTGCTTAAATTCGTCACTGTGTCTATGTCACAGCTAGCTGATACTTGTGGGTAGAGGTAGTTATTGATGCTATTGGTTACCTTAAGCCTCATAAGTCTGATGCCTCTGGTATATATTTCTACTGAACTTCTAAAGTATGCAACTCCTGTTGTGTCAGAAACTATTGCTGATCTGTTCACCGCTATTTCAAGGCATGGCTACATGCCAAAATGTTTTCGCAATAGTGTGTTGGTACCAATTCCTAAAAGTGATAAAAACCTGTCCATCAGTGACAACTATCAGCCTATTTCTCTTGCTTCTAGCTTAAGCAAAATCCTGGAGCATATGTAGCCCATTCTTGATAAGTATTCACATTACCTGCTTAGTAACCAACTTCAGTTTGGCTTTAAGTCTTCAACGTCTCTCTGCACAGTCTCAAGATACATTTTCAATGGTTCTACAGCGTTGGGCTGCTTCTTGGATGCCTCCAAAGCATTTGATCTGGTTGATGATGGTAAACTATTTTCAAAGTTACAACATAGGGGCTTGCCTCCTCCAATTCTTCGATTCTTGGGAAATTGGTATAGCTTACAGGAGATGAGAGTTCGTTTCCGAACCTTTTAGTGTTTCAAATGGTGTCAGACAGGGTGGAGTCCTCTCACCTGTTTTATTTGCAGTTTATTTGAATGGTTTGTTGGAAGAGTTATCAGACTCTGGTGTTGGTTGTTATTGGGGTCACATGTTTGCAGGAGCACTCGGCTATGCAGATGATAATATTGTTATCCTGGCTCCATGTGCGTCTGCTCTTAGACTGGTGTTGGATATTTGCAGTTTATATGCTCACGATCATGGTTTGTTGCTAGTACAACTCAGCTTTGTTTTCATTCTTGCAAAAACCGTCGCTTTCTACCATTGAATAATACTGGCTCCCATATAAGAATGAAGTCATACATCTTGGACATGTGCTGTCCTTTGACCTAAACGATGGACCTGATGTAACCCGTGCACTCAAAGTTCTGAACCAAAAAGCTAATTGTCCTCTCTGTACTTTCTATTTTGCTGTACAGTACTGTAACCCTCGCTGTGCATGCGCGCCGAGGGTTAATATTACAAAACGACACAAATACATGCCAAGTCCTTGCCTGAATATATACAATGAACCAGGGAGGAATACTATAGGGCAGAGTTGTAGCATACATGTAGTTCCCTTCTCTCATAACTATATATAATATAATTATTACGTGTACAACTTTGGGCGCGGCCAGGCACACTCATCTTTAAGCTAGCCAAGAGTGCATTATGTACCTGGCACAAAGCCCAAAAATGTGCAGTCTCAAAATTAGCAGAGTGCTGACTGTCATGCATATTGTACTATGTTGCAGTGCCCATACAGGACAGCATGAGCCCTGTAAGGGCGAATGCTGTCCTGTATGGGTACTGCAACAGATTTGTTGCATATCCCTAGCATGTGAAATGTATGAACCCTGCTTGCACATGTAGGATTGTATAGGCTGATAAAATCCCCCAGTACCTAGCTTCATACATGTCGGTTGCCTAGGGATATCCAACAAATGTACATACAGACATGTACCTTATACTCATGCAGTGCATGCATACTCAAACAGTATGACACACAGTACAAGAAAGAGCACACTCTTTCCTTGTTTGTAGTGGTTGTGGCGAGGTGTGTACACAGGAAGATTATCTCCTCCATATCCTTCCCTAGACCTGTTGAAGTTTGTTCATCTCATTTTAGACCTGCTGATGTGTGTTAAGAGATATTATAAAGACTGGAGGACACTGGTAGACTGGTCCGACTGTCTGCTCCTTGGAAATTCTTCTCCTCTCCACCCCCCTCAAATCTTTGTCTATCCCTAACACCTGGTTTGGTTCTGTTCAAGATGCTTCTGTGAGGTACAAGGAAAGACGTGTGTGTCTTTCATCTACGTCACACAAGAAAGTAAAGTGTGAGGTTTTTAAGTGTATAATCGTGGATAAGCCCTATAACATAAAAGATCCCCCTTAAAAAATTATGTGAGCAAAAGGAGTAGAAATTTATATTACAGCTACATATCAAATGAAGGGATAATTTGAGTGTATAGCTGATGAAGTAACTTTGGGAGTGTAGTCTGTTGTAAGATTAACACATTTCACACAGTTGCTTTAATAATCCGACTTGATCTGAAAACAACGTGGCTACGGAGCTAGTTCCACTGCTTAATAATACTGTATGTCAATCTGCATAGTTAGTGTGAAAGAATGTGTAGCTATATAGCTCTGTAGTTTGAGAAACATGGTAAGACTTTAATAGAGAGTAGCTATCCTTCAAGAAGTTGTTATGTTGATATGCACAACGCATCATGCCAACACATATGTGATAAAAAGGAAATGAAGGGGTGAGACAAAACAATGAGTAAAAACAAACACAACAGCAGTTAATTTTATAGTAGAGTGTTTCTACAAAGAGTTCATGAATAGTGACTTGAGTGAAAATGATTAGCTGGGAAATCAGATGTCGTGGTAACAGCTGCAGCTGGTGGTTGGAGCAGCTGACGTCTCTTGCAGTGGTAGCAAACACAGCAGAGAACTACTGACATTACTACTATGAAAATCAGGCCTCCAATAATTCCACCAGCAATTCCAAAACCGTTACCTGTGTAAAGATGTGTGTCAATACAGAGACGTTCTATGAACAGCGATTAAGCTAAGAAGAGATGCTCTTTCTTAAGGTTAGTCAGTATTAGGAGCCTCTAACATCCGGGACTATGCCCACTGAGCAATCAGGCAGCATATACTAGGGATGACACAGGTTATCCTGCATTATGCCCATACATTTGAGATTTTCCTGTTAGAGGACCCACATTCTGCGCATTAAAAAGTGTGTAATAAGGGATGCCATAAAAAGCAAGGAGACCAGACTGGGATGACCTGGGCATGTGATGCAGTAGTACAATGGGATGATTGTTACATCTTCAAACTGACATTTCTTGCTCATGTAAATTTTACTCCACACAAGCCCTATATTGTCGCAAAGCACGAGTGATCTCTATTGTATGATGTGCAGCGATGACTCGTTTCCTATGCACGTAAGCAAATCCCCTCTTTGACAGGTCCTCAGTTTTGAATCGTGACTGTGTTTAAATTTAATGTTCGCTCAACTAACCGGCTTTACAACGCTGCTTTCCCTACAGAATTCATTTGCCTGTCTTCTATTCAAAACTCATGTCATGAGTAAGAGTGGCGACAATATAGGGCTTGTGTGGAGTAAATTTACATGAGCAAGAAATGTCAGTATGAAGATGTAACAATCATCCCATTGTACTACTGCATCACATGCCCAGGTCATCCCTGTCTTGTCTCCTTGCTTTTTATGGCATCCCTATATTCCACCCTTTTTTAATTCGCAGAATTTTTTTATTTACTTGTACTGTAATTTGAAGTGACAGTTTTAGGGAGCGTTGTTACTGCACATAGTATAGCTCCGTGTTATATACATGCAACTTATGTACTCCACCTGTAGTGCAGGCGCACGCATTCTACCAAAACTATTTCTGTGAGCTGATAGTTAATAAACTCACGTATACAGGGATCATCACAGTCAACTTCTTCACCATTGCATTCACACCTGCTTGCTAAACAAATAATACAGTAACTATATAAAAGACATACTAGCTGTTTGTACATCATCTTACTCTGTGAGAGTATCGGCTGAAAAGAGCAGAGGACAATAACCAGCACACAAACTGATTGCGTTGCGTTCATGTCGCTCTTCAGGCTGCAGAATGCGGTACTCCGTTCCAGTCAGAGAAATGATCAAGTCAATATATTGAACGTCAGCCAAGCAGGAAGCTCTGGCGATCGTGGTCCCTTTTGGTTTATTGGCGAGCGGAAGCGAGCTAACCTAGTGGTCCGAACGGCGCGATTTTTCTATATATATATGTACCCGTACGTCGTCCAACTGCGCATGCTCCAGCATTACGCGCTTCTTTTTATCCGAAAGGGATTTCAACATTTTCATAATGCTGCCTGAATCGAGCGGAATCAGGGGAAACGCAACACCTCCGAAGCTATCGAGTATTGCTGCACAGTCCAGCGAGAGATTTTTCTACATTGCCACTTGTTCCCTATTCCTGCAAGACCAATCAGATTGCCGGATTATGCCTGATTCGCGCTGTCGACTGACTGTTTTTGACTCGACTCGAATTGTCTACTTCGCTCGGGTCGTTTCGGCCTACTTGGTCCTGTGCAATGTATCTCACTGTTTTGTGCACACACAAGAGTGACTCATACGATTAGACCCCAATTGTAAGCGCGCTTCCGCTCGCCAAAAATGCCATGCATTCGCCTACTAGTATTATACGAAGCTTGCGACCTATGAACCGTGAAGGAAATGGCTATATAAATTACCGGACGGATGCAATGGCAACATTTTCGCCGGTACGTGACATCAGGTGTTTCAGAAGCATCACTGCAGGCGGTGCGCCGAATTCGCCGAGGGTGTCACTCAAGTGCGCACTGCAGCACTAGTGTGGATACTCGTTCTTTAGGAAGTTTCACACCTTCACGGTGCGCCTTACACTGAATTCTAGCACGGGTATTAGCTACCGCTTGCCATTGCTAACTCTCAAAATGTCTACACCTGACTATAATGGAAACATTCTTAGTTTCGTCACATTCTTCTCTGGCCAAACTCGTTCAGCCTTGCACTTCAAGTTGAGACAAACTACTCCTATTTCTAATAACTCCATTCGTCACTTTTACTTTAACCGTCTTCCCCGCCTCTGGAACTCACTCCCCCTTCTTAATTTAGATCACTCCGTATCTACTATCAGGTCCAAACTCTACAAACTCTTTCGGAATCATTTCATTACAAACTTCAATCCAGACAATCCATGGTCGTTCCACTACCTGTGTCCATGTGCTAAGTGTAGCTCTATCCCGATCTCCCCCAACTTTGACACCTCTCTCCTATGAACTAATCTCTTAAGTATGTTTGTTTTTGTTCAGTTATGTGTCATAAGCTGCTTGTGTATACCTCCAGCAGACCCTCAGCACTACCATCCTATTGCTATCATCTTACCTTTCACATCTCATCTCTTTGTGTGCTGTAAAGTCTCAATAATAATAATAATAATAATAATAATAATAATACTCACTGAAGCCGGTGGTAGCTATGTTTTGGTGTAAACAATGCCCTATTACTGCACGCAGTCCTGTATAGGTATAATATGCAGGTATCTGTTTGGGACTCTGAAAGTAAGGCTTGACCCTGACACATGACTTAGAGTCAACTGTGCATGCTCCAGGCCATTCCCATGCATTGAGGGACAAAGTTGAGAAAGAGCTACAGTGCCTCCACGAAGAGAGTACCATAGAACCAGTGGAGTTTGCCGAGACGCCTGCGGCTGTTCTGAGGAACACTGTCCATATCTGTGGTTACTGTAGAGTGTCATTGTCAACCCAGTTTCTCCCACTATATTAGAAGACGTTCACTGAAATGGGGTGCTGCTGAAACTAAGCCCTAAAAATCTCCTTGCTTCAGAGAAGAGTATCTCGCTCTCTTTGATTCAGCTCTTGAGCTTATGCCTCAGCTTATGGTATCTGGTTTTTTATTTCAAGCGGGACGAAAAATTTGTGCTGTAAAAGTTTCAGTCACAACAACAATCGGCTTAGTTGCGACATTTCTGTTCTCTATATTCACGATGCATTAGGGACACAAAACATGCACACACGCAACACATGCACGCTGCATGATCATTACATAACACACGATTGCAGAGAGCCCATAGCTTACTCGTCGCGTACACTCCCAGCTATGATTAACCCTCGGCGCGCATGCGCAGCGAGGGTTGCAGTAGTCCCTCGGCGCGCATGCGCAGCGAGGGTACTGTAGTTGGGTTTGTCTGTGTGTCTGTTACTCTCAATCTCACTTCTCGAATGTCTGTTCGTCTCACAAACAATACGACCTACTTAACGGGCAATGAAGGTCAGAAAATAAAGGCGGTTTTCTCTGAAAATGCTCCGTTACAAAGCTAGAGCGCTTCCGCCATTGTACGGCTAATGCTAGTCGGCCATTTTTATCGCTGCGGCGCATGCGCTTATATTTTGAACGGGCTCGGGTCCGCTTGCTCTGTGTATCTTGAAGGCACGATAAGTCACAACGAAGGGCGAGTATCGACTCCCACATGCAATCTACTACTGTAGCTAGCCCGTGCCAGACTCTCTGCGAGCTACTAACGGGAGACCACGAGTAAACGCATACTAATAGCAGCCCAGCCCATCAATTAGCGGTACCTCGCATCTCCAGTTCGCCGAGGGTTTGCACTTTAGTGCTTTTCATTGGGTCTGTGTGTGTGTGTCTGTCTGTTACTCGACATCTCACTTCTCGAGTGTTTATTCGTCTCACAAACGATGCGACGTACTCAACGGGCAATGAAGGTCAGAAATTATGAGCGGTTTTCTCTGAAAAATGCACCGTTGCAGAGCTACGGCTAATGCGTAGTCGGCCATTTTTTATCGCTGCGGAAAATGTGCATGCGGTTATAATGCTAATTAGTACAAACTTACCTCGACCGGGCCGCTTGCTCTGTGTATCTTGAAGGCATAAGAGGTCAAAACGAAGGGCGTGTATCGACTCCCGCATGCTATTTACTACTGTAGCTAGTCCGTGTCAGACTCTCCTCGAGCTACTAGCGTGGATACCACGAGTAAAAAGCCCAGCCCATCGATTAGTGGTACCGCGCATGCGCAGTTCGCCGAGGGTTTGCACTTCAGTGCTTTTCATTATAACATGAACAGTCTCAGCTGGAGAAGGAAGGTCTTGCCTGTATTTTTGGCATAAAGTGAGTTTAGCCGTTCCATTGAGCTAGTGACAGACAGCTACAAGCCTCTGCTGGGTTTACTGAAAGAGTACCGTGCTACATCCTCTCGTATCAAACGTTGGTATTTGCCAGGCAAAGCCATGAAACGCATGTGAACGTAACCATTGATGCAGCTACTGGGCATGAAACTTTCACCATACACCAGCAAGAAAAGCCGTGGTTTGGGCTAATGTTATCAATTAATGGTAGCATGAACGGGCAGTTCACCAAGGGTTTGCACTTGCATACTATAATTGGCGAGCGGAAGCGAGCTAACCTAGTGGTCCGAACGGCGTGATTTTTCTATATATATAATGTACCCGTACGTCGTCCAACTGCGCATGCTCCAGCATTACGCGCTTCTTTTTATCCGAAAGGGATTTCAACATTTTCATAATGCTGCCTGAATCGAGCGGAATCAGGGGAAACGCAACACCTCCGAAGCTATCGAGTATTGCTGCACAGTCCAGCGAGAGATTTTTCTACATTGCCACTTGTTCCCTATTCCTGCAAGACCAATCAGATTGCCGGATTATGCCTGATTCGCGCTGTCGACTGACTGTTTTTGACTCGACTCGAATTGTCTACTGCGCTCGGGGCGTTTCGGCCTACTTGGTCCTGTGCAATGTATCTCACTGTTTTGTGCACACACAAGAGTGACTCATACGATTAGACCCCAATTGTAAGCGCGCTTCCGCTCGCCAAAAATGCCATGCATTCGCCTACTAGTAATTATATATGCCTGTGGCTTACTAAGGGTTAAATAGCTAAGTAATCCTTGGCAATATTTGGGAATACTTAGACTTGCTAAATATCTTGTTGGGACAATCCCAGGCAGTCAATACCTATACAGTTTATACAGTATCCCGGATTCCTGGGACCATCCCTAGTAGTCCAGTCTACACCTGCCAGTCCCAGGATACACAGTATCCTGGGATTCCTTGCAGGGTTTCATCTACAGGGGGCAGGGGGAAGCTCCCCCCCATTTTGCTATTAAATACTTTTTACAACACAATTCAACACTTTTTTGTTCATTCCAGTGGGAAATAACATATTGTTAGTATATACATGGTAGTGATCTCTAATTATAAACTGACACCTACTTTCCTGGCTCGCAGCACTGATGAGTGTGAGTGGTATTTTGAAATTCCAAACTCTAGATGAAACTATCCAAAGTAGTACCCTCTACAGGTATAGCTACACCTTCCAGTCCCTGGATACTTAGTATCCCGGCATTCCTGGGACCATCCCAGGTAGTACCCTCTAGCTATAGCTTAGGTGAAGAATAAAACACCATTTTAAGGATTGGACAGGGGATGCAGGTATACCACTCTGTTGCCATCTTGTAAAAAAATTATGTTTCATCTACAGGGGGCAGGGGGAAGCTCCCCCCCCCCATTTTGCTATTAAATACTTTTTACAACACAATTCAGAGAGGCTAAATAGCAAAGTAAAGCTGTTATTGTATAAGACATTTAACAAGGTGGTAGAGTTCAAAAAGTACTTGCATGGGAAAAGTGATGCTGGGTCTAGATTAATGTTTAAGTTCAGGTCAGGCACGCATGGGCTAAATGAGGAACTGGGCAGGCATAGGGGGAGGGAGGGGGTGAAAGAGTGCCTGTTGTGTGATGATGAGTGTGAAAGTGTGAGTCATGTGTTGTGGGAGTGTCCAGCATATAGTAGTCTTAGGAGCAATTTCTTAGTTGCCCTGCAGGGGAAGCTTGGGGATGATGGGTTTGAGCATTTCCAGTCGCTTGATAGTTTCAGGAAAGCATCCTTTATATTGGGTAGTGAACTGTGGGAGGATAATTTTGGTTCTTTGCTTGGCCTTGTTAAAGATTTTATTTTGGATGTTTGGGAGCTAAGAAAGGTTAGGTTATACGGCGATAGTCCCCACGTACAACAAACCCAGTCTCAGATTGTGTCTGGGGAGCTGCAGGGTGTCGCTGGTGGAAGGGGTGAGTTGAGGTGTCTGGGAGGTGAGACAGACACCTCATGTTCATGTTCATATGGTGTATGTTCGTGTGTTAACGGTTCCGCCCATTGCTCTGGGTGCGTGGTCTATGGCCCTAGTGCTATGGCAGCCACCTGAGTATTATTATTATTACAACACAATTCAACACTTTTTTGTTCATTCCAGTGGGAAATAACATATTGTTAGTATATACATGGTAGTGATCTCTAATTATAAACTGACACCTACTTTCCTGGCTCGCAGCACTGATGAGTGTGAGTGGTATTTTGAAATTCCAAACTCTAGATGAAACTATCCAAAGTAGTACCCTCTACAGGTATAGCTACACCTTCCAGTCCCTGGATACTTAGTATCCCGGCATTCCTGGGACCATCCCAGGTAGTACCCTCTAGCTATAGCTTAGGTGAAGAATAAAACACCATTTCAAGGATTGGACAGGGGATGCAGGTATACCACTCTGTTGCCATCTTGTAAAAAAATTATTTGTTGCTATAATTATGTAGATTGGCCTAGTCAATGCTGACTGACTTATGCAAGCCCTGGACAGGTATCAGTGGCTGGTTAAGTTATAATGTCGTCCTATTGCACATGTGTGATGTTCCAGCATCAGAAGTGTGACTTGGATAGAACACTATAAACAGATAAACATCTGCAGAAGGTACTTAATTTGTTCCAGTAGCATGGAGAGTATAAAGCTCACAAGACTGCAAAGTACTAGTAGCAGATAAATAACCTGTAGAGCCAAACAATATTATGTGAAATAAAAATAGCATAGCAAAAGTTTTACCATCAGTTATTTAGGTGTGCAATTGACTCCAGCTGATCGAAGTCGATTCATAATCTTCGAGCGTTGTTTCTTTACAGAAGAATGTAGTGCCGACACAGTCTGTTAAGATTAGAAGTCAAATAAATCAAAAATGCCACAAACGCAGGGGTAGTGGATGCATTTGGCAAGCAAAGTGAGCCTATACCTTGTAATCTGAATGTGTGATTAGTATTTACAGGGCACTGCACATATATCTTAAGCGTCATTCCAAATACATGGGCAATTGAAAATGTGTGTTTAAAAAAGTGAGCTCTACTTGCATAGATGTATGGGGCTATGATAGGGAGTTCTCCTTCTTCTTTGGATTGAACTCGCGTAACTCAAAAACGAAATGACATAATTATAGTAATGAAATTTTGTAACAATGTAGATATCCGTCACCCGAAGAGACCGGTCATACTTAGACGAGGAGAGGACAGATGAAGAAGAAACCCCAGGTTGTACAGCTGTATAACAACAACATGATGGGAGTGGATCGACTTGATCAGATGGCGACCTACTATATACTCCTTTCTGCGGAAGTCGGTGAAGTGGTGGAGGAAAGTGATGTTCTGGTTACTTGAGGTGTCTGTGGTGAATGCATACATTGTACACACCACACGTCTGAAACAGAAGCCACTCACTCACCTTCAATTTCGCCGGGCACTGATCCAGGGGTTGGTGTCACACCGGCTTCATGTACCACAGCCACTCCGTCCAGGTCGCCGGGTGGACATGTCCCTCGAGAGAATGAGGCCCATCCCACATTTTTCAGAGGAGGGTGATAGACGGCGTGATTGTCGTGTTTGTAGAAGCACGAGTAAGAGGAGAGCAACGACATACTTCTGTCTTACATGCTCCGACCACCCCCACTTGCACCCAGGAAAATATTTCCGAGTATATCACACTCGCGTTAACTTTAGACCACGTACTTGAACAATTCCATTCTCCCTGCTGCCTTTACTGGTTTACCAGATGTATCTGCTCTTCCCTGTCACCTTATCTAGCTGTTCCTTCCCCACTCCTTCACTCCCATACCCTTTTTTCTCGTTTATCTGAAACCTATGTTTTGTATCCTGTCACATCCATCATATACGAATATACCTTGACTGCACTCCAAGAACCTTCCTTTTCCTCCCCATAAAGTTTCAGCGCCACAACTCTCCGAACTTCGCACTCAGGACAAAAAATAGTAGACACGTCGCCCGCCCCGACATTTTTCCGTCCGCGGAAATGCACGCGCGGGACGTATACGCGTAAATTCAATACTTCCGCGCGCGCGTCCGGTAAGTGTTAACAACAACAAAATTGCCCCAAGCAAAACATTATAATGGGGAATACATTATAATTGCCATACTACATTTGTCAGTGTAACTCACAATTGGTAAGAGCTATGTGAACAAAAGTTTGTAAACATAATAGCCAACATCAAAACACATGTTTGTAAATAACAACAAATAGCCTCAGGCACTTTTCTCTAAATTTACTTCTTCACTTCTCAAACTTTCCAATGGTATATAGCACGCATGGAAATTTGGCATGTATAAGTTATACGATGGCGGCGCGTGGTTTACTGGTTTTACACGAGGACGACATTATAACTTAACCTGCCACTGATACCTGTCCAGGGCTTGCATAAGTTCGTAAGCATTGACTAGGCTAATCTACATAATCTACGCACCTACGTTGTTTGGACTAGCTAGAATTCCTTTGATCTTACTCTCAGTCATCATACAAATGCCTATTATATCATTTCCATGACGATTAAATGCTTCCATCACGACCGAATATTGTTTGACAAAGCCTTAGGCAAAACTATTTTTCACTCCTCAAACTTGCTAACTGTAGCACGCATGGAGGTGGAACTTGGTGCGCATGTGAATTACGTTTCCATGACGACCACAATAACAAATAGCCTCTGGCACTTTTCTTTAAAATTACTTCTTCACTCCTCAAACTTGCCAACTGTAGCACGCATGGAGGTGAAACTTGGTACGCATGTAAAAACTATGAGGTAGAAAGGCAAAGGCACAACAAACAAATCAACTACACCCAGGACAGCTCTTTTTTTCAAGGAAAAATAAAGAGCTGCCCTAGGTGGGATTCGAACCCACAACACTCTAGGCGAGCGCTCTACTAACTGAGCTACCCGGGCAACTCAGCTGGTAGGGGTTCGAATCTACATGCATACCATATCGTTTCGACAACCACAACCACAAATAGCCTCAGGCACTTTTCTTTAAAATTACATTTTCACTCCTCAAACTCAGTAACGGTACCACACATGGAGATGAAACTTGGTATGCATGCATGTAACATCATTTCCATGACAACCACTTTGTTTGAACAACAACAAATAGCCTCATGGAATTTTCTTTAAAAATTACTTTACTTCTCAAAGTAGCACACATGGAGATTAAACTTGGTGCACATGCGTATTACGAAAACTACATGTTTCTCTGACGACTACGTCATATTGTTCAAATAGCTTCAGGCACTTCTCCTCAAACTTGCTAACGGTAGCACGCATGGAGACTTGGTATGCATGCATGTTACATCATTTCCATGACAAATTCAAACATGTTTTTTCATGTTCCATGACGACCACATATTGTTTGAACTAGCCTCAGGCACTCTTCACTCCTCAGTAGCACTCATGGAGATGAAACTTGGTACGAATGCGTATGAGATCGTTTCCATGAAGACCACAAATTATTTGAACAACTACAAATAGCCTCAGGCATTTACTTCTTCACTCCTCAAACTTGCTAACCGCAGAACACATGGAGATGAAACTTGGTACTCATGCGTGTTACATCATTTCCATTACGACAACAGCACTTTTTCTATATTATAGGGGGCTTGCCCCCTTTCACAGAGATAATACGTTATTATATAAAAATGAGTGGAGACAAGTAAATTAAAATCCTGCGAACTAAAAAAAAGAGGCATAGGGATGGTATATATATAAAAGGAAAGGGAGACAAGATTGGGATGGGATATATGTATGAAGCATTGTTAATGAGCAGATTTAAGCACGCTGACACCCCCAACCCCATCACACAATCCCTATATTATTGCTTGGGTGAAGTATTAAACATTCACCATTACCATACTAAGGTCATGCTACTGAGTAACCAGCACCGTTATAGAGTCCAAGTGGAGTTTAATTCGCATGATTTTTTATCTAGCTGTGATGCCAGCTTGAATTCTATGGCACATGCATTCCTAAAAATCCTCTAATTCATGCAATTTAACTGCTGACATAAAGACAATCACCATCATTCATATCCAGGTTAGAGTGGATTAAAAGCATCAACAATTAATTGGGTTTTAACATCTTCATTTGCAGGTTTCCGAAAAACTAAAAAGAATTCTGATGGTTGGTAGGTAGGTTTGAGATGCTCACAGTCATAGAATCTCGGTCTTGTGCCACCATCAACATAAGAAAGGTCATAAAGAATGACCACATCACAGCTGTAGGTGATGTTGGCCCGACTGTTTACTGCAGCGGCAGAAAAAATGGTTGAATTTCTTCTATGAATGAGGTGTTTGTGGGATAATGGTAGGTAATCCGAAGTCTCTGATGTGCTTGCTTTGCACCGCAAACTCCAGGGATGAAGGTAGTAGGTGTCGAGGGAGAAGAGTAAAGGATCTTCCGAAACGTATCGCACGGAGCTAAACACATAGAAATTAGCAGTATCTCCATCGACTGTAGGTATAGGAGTGGAATGGATAAATAATGTACGACAATTACTCACTATACTAAGAACTCTTCATGCACCCACCCGCACTCTTTTACCCACATTGCTTACTAGTGCGCCACATGGCTATACACCTGCATAATCTGGACACTTTTTTCATCGAAGCATGTGTGTGCAAAGTCTATGATTGCCAGTGGGCAGCTTGATCAGCAGCAAAGGGCTTATTCTCACTAACAGATAAATCACCTTGATATTAAGTTTAATGTTTTAGATTATTTACACACAACGTTTTAAAATAATCGGTTCATAATAATTGTTATGGGCAACAGAGGGGTATACATAGTGTAAAGTGGCAGTCATAATACTCTCCTTTAGTTAGTTCTCATGAGCACTATTTCTAACGTTAGTTACTCTCACCAGAGACGTGACCATGGTCATAGAGACCAAAATGGTGGATCTTCTCCTCTCCATTCTCATCAGGAATGATGCAACTGTACACTCCCTCAGCTTCACTGCTGAACTGGACACCTGGTAGCAAAAAAGGAGTGGGAGTCTGAGGCAAGTGGCCGAAAGTCCAAAGGTTAAAGAAAAAAGGGGTGATTACATTGAATAGGCACAAAATACTTCATGACACCATCCTTCCTTCTTTGGAAATCAAAGTAGTAGCGAGAGCGAGCGGTATCTGCTCGAGCAATCCTGTATAGCTTAGGCTTATTTCCAACTTTCACCTTCGAACCATGAGGATTGGGAAGTGGTATATACAGCCTCGGTCAGTCACCGAAGATCGCAGCGAATGCCGTCGAATGGAGGAAAGTTCTCTTGCTCAGAGGAGGACCAGTAGCTTCTCGTGATTTTCTCTCTTCTTGCTTAAATTCGTCACTGTGTCTATGTCACAGCTAGCTGATACTTGTGGGTACGTAGAGGTAGTTACCCTCGGCGCGCATGCGCAGCGAGGGTACAGTACTTGGGTCTGTCTGTCTGCCTGTTTGTTTGTCTGTTATTCTATATCTCACTCCTGGAACGTCTGTTCGTCCCAGAAACGATACCATCTACCCAACGGGCGACGAAGGTCAGAATATAAAGGCAGTTTTCTCTGAAAATGCTCCGTTGCAAAGCTAGAGCACGAAAAATCCAATATGCAAATACGCAACGGCTTACCGGAGTACCCGCGCGGTCTGATCGACCCGCGTGCTCTGCGACCTCGGAGGCACCAGAAGATGCAACGCAGGGCGTGTATCGCCTCTCGCATGCAGTATAGTAGTGTAGTTAGCCCGCGTCAGACTCTGGCTAGAGACCAGCCAGAACTAAACCCAGCCCATCAATTAGTGATACAGCGCATGCGCTTACCCCCACGCGTGCGCGTCACAATGCGCCGAGGGTTTGCACTTCAGTGCTTTTCATTATTGATGCTATCGGTTACCTTAAGCCTCATAAGTCTGATGCCTCTGGTATATATTTCTACTGAACTTCTAAAGTATGCAACTCCTGTTGTGTCAGAAACTATTGCTGATAATTATGTTCACCGCTATTTCAAGGCATGGCTACATGCCAAAATGTTTTCGCAATAGTGTGTTGGTACCAATTCCGAAAAGTGGTAAAAACCTGTCCATCAGTGACAACTATCAGCCTATTACTCTTGCTTCTAGCTTAAGCAAAATCCTGGAGCATATATAGCCCATTCTTGATAAGTATTCACATTACCTGCTTAGTAACCAACTTCAGTTTGGCTTTAAGTCTTCAACGTCTCTCTGCACAGTCTCAAGATACATTTTCAATGGTTCTACAGCATTGGGCTGCTTCTTGGATGCCTCCAAAGCATTTGATCTGGTTGATGATGGTAAACTATTTTCAAAGTTACAACATATGGTACCAGTCAAAAAAAATGCACCGTAGTTGTGTTACAACTCCAAAACTTAACGGTGTTGCTATTATATTATTGTACTCAGTGCTTGCATGAAATTTTGGCCTTTTACGACGCGGTACACATGTGGCGCTGGTTGGTTTAACCACTGTAGTAACATTATGTACAATCCTTGCTGTAGTACGTAGGTATGCTGTAGTGTTGCCACATAAGTGCATTTTATCACTGTACCTACCGTATGGTTAATACATAGGTACGTAGTACAGTCACATTTGGGTAGATTTTTGTTTCTCACTGTAGTTTATCTGTAACTACACACCTGTAGAAAGGTCTTGAAACAGTTCAAGGAATAGTAATTATCCCTTTTTCATGTGTACATTGTGCTGTTGTGTAGATCTGGTTTCTACACTAAAACCTGGAAATACGGTGCATTTCTTTTACTGGTACCGTAGGGGCTTGCCTCCTCCAATTCTTCGATTCTTGGGAAATTGGTATAGCTTACAGGAGATGAGAGTTTGTTTCCGAACCTTTTAGTGTTTCAAATGGTGTCAGACAGGGTGGAGTCCTCTCACCTGTTTTATTTGCAGTTTATTTGAATGGTTTGTTGGAAGAGTTATCAGACTCTGGTGTTGGTTGTTATTGGGGTCACATGTTTGCAGGAGCACTCTGCTATGCAGATGATATTGTTATCCTGGCTCCATGTGCGTCTGCTCTTAGACTGGTGTTGGATATTTGCAGTTTATATGCTCACGATCATGGTTTGTTGTTCAATGCTAGTACAACTCAGCTTTGTTTTCATTCTTGCAAAAACCGTCGCTTTCTACCATTGAATAATACTGGCTCCCATATAAGAATGAAGTCATACATCTTGGACATGTGCTGTCCTTTGACCTAAACGATGGACCTGATGTAACCCGTGCACTCAAAGTTCTGAACCAAAAAGCTAATTGTCCTCTCTGTACTTTCTATTTTGCTGTACAGTACTGTAACCCTCGCTGTGCATGCGCGCCGAGGGTTAATATTACAAAACGACACAAATACATGCCAAGTCCTTGCCTGAATATATACAATGAACCAGGGAGGAATACTATAGGGCAGAGTTGTAGCATACATGTAGTTCCCTTCTCTCATAACTATATATATAATTATTACGTGTACAACTTTGGGCGCGGCCAGGCACACTCATCTTTAAGCTAGCCAAGAGTGCATTATGTACCTGGCACAAAGCCCAAAAATGTGCAGTCTCAAAATTAGCAGAGTGCTGACTGTCATGCATATTGTACTATGTTGCAGTGCCCATACAGGACAGCATGAGCCCTGTAAGGGCGAATGCTGTCCTGTATGGGTACTGCAACAGATTTGTTGCATATCCCTAGCATGTGAAATGTATGAACCCTGCTTGCACATGTAGGATTGTATAGGCTGATAAAATCCCCCAGTACCTAGCTTCATACATGTCGGTTGCCTAGGGATATCCAACAAATGTACATACAGACATGTACCTTATACTCATGCAGTGCATGCATACTCAAACAGTATGACACACAGTACAAGAAAGAGCACACTCTTTCCTTGTTTGTAGTGGTTGTGGCGAGGTGTGTACACAGGAAGATTATCTCCTCCATTTCCTTCCCTAGACCTGTTGAAGTTTGTTCATCTCATTTTAGACCTGCTGATGTGTGTTAAGAGATATTATAAAGACTGGAGGACACTGGTAGACTGGTCCGACTGTCTGCTCCTTGGAAATTCTTCTCCTCTCCACCCCCCTCAAATCTTTGTCTATCCCTAACACCTGGTTTGGTTCTGTTCAAGATGCTTCTGTGAGGTACAAGGAAAGACGTGTGTGTCTTTCATCTACGTCACACAAGAAAGTAAAGTGTGAGGTTTTTAAGTGTATAATCGTGGATAAGCCCTATAACATAAAAGATCCCCCTTAAAAAAATATGTGAGCAAAAGGAGTAGAAATTTATATTACAGCTACATATCAAATGAAGGGATAATTTGAGTGTATAGCTGATGAAGTAACTTTGGGAGTGTAGTCTGTTGTAAGATTAACACATTTCACACAGTTGCTTTAATAATCCGACTTGATCTGAAAACAACGTGGCTACGGAGCTAGTTCCACTGCTTAATAATACTGTATGTCAATCTGCATAGTTAGTGTGAAAGAATGTGTAGCTATATAGCTCTGTAGTTTTGAGAAACATGGTAAGACTTTAATAGAGAGTAGCTATCCTTCAAGAAGTTGTTATGTTGATATGCACAACGCATCATGCCAACACATATGTGATAAAAAGGAAATGAAGGGGTGAGACAAAACAATGAGTAAAAACAAACACAACAGCAGTTAATTTTATAGTAGAGTGTTTCTACAAAGAGTTCATGAATAGTGACTTGAGTGAAAATGATTAGCTGGGAAATCAGAAACAACCTGTGGTGTCGTGGTAACAGCTGCAGCTGGTGGTTGGAGCAGCTGACGTCTCTTGCAGTGGTAGCAAACACAGCAGAGAACTACTGATATTACTACTATGAAAATCAGGCCTCCAATAATTCCACCAGCAATTCCAAAACCGTTACCTGTGTAAAGATGTGTGTCAATACAGAGACGTTCTATGAACAGGGATTAAAACGCCATTAGCTAAGATAGAGATGCTCTTTCTTAAGGTTAGTCAATATTAGGAGCCTCTAACATCTGGAACTATATATGCCCACTGAGCAATCAGGCAGCATATACTAGGGATGACACAGGTTATCCTGCATTATGCCCATACATTTGAGATTTTCCTGTTAGAGGACCCACATTCTGCGCATTAAAAAGTGTGTAATAAGGGATGCCATAAAAAGCAAGGAGACCAGACTGGGATGACCTGGGCATGTGATGCAGTAGTACAATGGGATGATTGTTACATCTTCAAACTGACATTTCTTGCTCATGTAAATATTACTCCACACAAGCCCTCTATTGTCGCAAAGCACGAGTGATCTCTATCGTATGATGTGCAGCGATGACTCGTTTCCTATGCACGTAAGACAGGTAGCAAATGCCCTCTCTGACAAGTCCTCAGTTTTGAATCGTGACTGTGTTTAAATTTAATGTTCGCTCAACTAACCGGCTTTACAACGCTGCTTTCCCTACAGAATTCATTTGCCTGTCTTCTATTCAAAACTCATGTCATGAGTAAGAGTGGCGACAATATAGGGCTTGTGTGGAGTAAATTTACATGAGCAAGAAATGTCAGTATGAAGATGTAACAATCATCCCATTGTACTACTGCATCACATGCCCAGGTCATCCCTGTCTTGTCTCCTTGCTTTTTATGGCATCCCTATATTCCACCCTTTTTTAATTCGCAGAATTTTTTTATTTACTTGTACTGTAATTTGAAGTGACAGTTTTAGGGAGCGTTGTTACTGCACATAGTATAGCTCCGTGTTATATACATGCAACTTATGTACTCCACCTGTAGTGCAGGCGCACGCATTCTACCAAAACTATTTCTGTGAGCTGATAGTTAATAAACTCACGTATACAGGGATCATCACAGTCAACTTCTTCACCATTGCATTCACACCTGCTTGCTAAACAAATAATACAGTAACTATATAAAAGACATACTAGCTGTTTGTACATCATCTTACTCTGTGAGAGTATCGGCTGAAAAGAGCAGAGGACAATAACCAGCACACAAACTGATTGCGTTGCGTTCATGTCGCTCTTCAGGCTGCAGAATGCGGTACTCCGTTCCAGTCAGAGAAATGATCAAGTCAATATATTGAACGTCAGCCAAGCAGGAAGCTCTGGCGATCGTGGTCCCTTTTGGTTTATATTATACGAAGCTTGCGACCTATGAACCGTGAAGGAAATGACTATATTAGGTCTTAGCTCTGCTGGTCTAGCTTGCTATGTACACTGAACTCTGCCCAGTCGAGTTGTACACTGGACTCTGCCCGGTCGAGTTGTGCGTAAGTTAGTTTCTATTACCTCACATTACCTCACATTACCTCACATTACCGGACGGATCCAATGGCAACATTTTCGCCGGTACGTGACATCTTCACGGTGCGCCTTACACTGAATTCTAGCACGGGTATTACCGCTTGCCATTGCTAACTCTCAAAATGTCTACACCTGACTATAATAGTACTCACTGAAGCCGGTGGTAGCTATGTTTTGGTGTAAACAATGCCCTATTACTGCACGTAGTCCTGTATAGGTATAATATGCAGGTATGTTTTTGGGACTCTGAAAGTAAAGGCTTGATCCTGACACATGACTTGAGTCAACCCTGTATTCTCCATTCCCTATTCATTAGTACATGCAAATGACCACAAATGACAGTTTAATTCACATAGATATGTAGGTGTGTTTGCTAACATGTGGTTGCCTTCTATTGTAGGGTGTCAGGGGAGTCAAGGGAGTCAAGGGAGTCCAGGGAGTCCAGAGAGTCAGGGGAGTCAAGGGAGTCTAGGGAGTCCAGAGAGTCAGGGGAGTCAAGGGAGTCCAGAGAGTCAAGGGAGTCAAGGGAGTCAAGGGAGTCCAGAGAGTCCGGGGAGTCAAGGGAGTCCAGAGAGTCAAGGGAGTCCAGAGAGTCAGGGGAGTCAAGGGAGTCCAGAGAGTCAAGGGAGTCAAGGGAGTCAAGGGAGTCCAGAGAGTCAGGGGAGTCAAGTGAGTCTAGGGAGTCCAGAGAGTCAGGGGAGTCAAGGGAGTCCAGAGAGTCAAGGGAGTCAAGGGAGTCCAGAGAGTCAGGGGAGTCAAGGGAGTCCAGAGAGTCAAGGGAGTCCAGAGAGTCAGGGGAGTCAAGGGAGTCCAGAGAGTCAAGGGAGTCAAGGGAGTCCAGAGAGTCAGGGGAGTCAAGTGAGTCAAGGGAGTCTAGGGAGTCCAGAGAGTCAGGGGAGTCCAGAGAGTCCAGAGAGTCAGGGGTCCAGGGAGTAAAAGGGAGTTATGGAGTGTACATCTCCCTGTCAACATGTACTTTAGCAGTAATACAAATATAATACACTTGTGTATGTGTGAGTGTGTGTGGGGGTATTTCTCAGATGCTGGCTCTTTGCTTGAGGTCACAGTGAGTATATTCACATCACCTCCTTATTTGCGTTGTCCTTGTAATATTAGTACTCACAGTGTTGTAAAGCATAGTAATAAAGGAGGAGTGCTGATTCAGCATTTTTGGGTAGTGTATCTCCTTAAAGAAGCAGAAATTGATGTATAACATATTAACGCCAAGTATTATAGTCATATATAAATTCTTATGGACTTATGGAGGCTCTGGGCATACTATAATTATATATGCCTGTGGCTTGCTAAGGGTTAAATAGCTCAGTAATCCTTGGCAATATTTGGGAATACTTAGTGTTATGGGACTTACTAAGGGATAGTGCATCTTCCACCACTTGTTGGGACAATCCCAGGCAGACAATACCTATACAGTATCCCTGGATTCCTGGGATCATCCCTAGTAGTCCAGTCTACACCTGCCAGTCCCAGCATACATATATAGTATCCTGGGATTCCTTGCAGGGTTTCTTCTACAGGGGGCAGGGGGGAAGCTCCCCCCAAACTTCACCATTTTTCTATTTTGCCAACTAAATACTTTTACAACACAATTAGACACTTTTTTGTTCTTTCCAGTGGGTAATAATACATTCATATTTACATTGTTAGTATATACATGGTAGTGATCTCTAATTATAAACTGACACCTACTTTCCTGGCTCGCAGCACTGATGAGTGTGAGTGGTATTTTGAAATTCCAAACTCTCGATGAAACCCCTGCCTTGGACTATCCAAAGTAGTACCCTCTACAGGTATAGCTACACCTTCCAGTCCCTGGATACTTAGTATCCCGGCATTCCTGGGACCATCCCAGGTAGTACCCTCTAGCTATAGCTTAGGTGAAGAAGAAAACACCATTTCAAGGATAGGACGGGGGGTGCAGGTATACCACTCCGTTGCCATCTTGTAAAAAAAATACTTTTTTGCTATAATTATGTAGATTGGCCTAGTCAATGCTGACGGACTTATGCAAGCCCTGGACAGGTATCAGTGGCTGGTTAAGTTATAATGTCGTCCTATTGCACATGTGTGATGTTCCAGGATCAGAAGTATGACTTGGATAGAACACTACAAGCTATACATCACAGATAAACGTCTGCAGAAGGTACTTAATTAAGTTCCAGTAGCATGGAGAGTATAAAGCTCACAAGACTGCAAAGTACTAGTAGCAGATAAATAACCTGTAGAGCCAAACAATATTATGTGAAATAAAAATAACATAGCAAAAGTTTTACCATCAGTTTTTTAGGTGTGCAATTGACTCCAGCTGAATCGAAGTCGATTCATAATCTTTCGAGCGTTGTTTCTTTACAGAAGAATGCAGTGCCGACACAGTCTGTTAAGATTAAAAGTCAAATAAATCAAAAATGCCACAAACGCAGGGGTAGTGGATGCATTTGGCAAGCAAAGTGAGCCTATACCTTGTAATCTGAATGCATTTACGGGCACTGCAAATATATCGTAATCTCACACGTGATTCCAAATACCCATGGGCAATTGAAAATGTGTGTTAAAAAAGTGAGCTCTACTTGCATCTTCACTGCATGGCAACCTCGCCGAAGTGCGCATGTGCGATACCGCTGGGCTGGCTATTTACTCGTGGTCTCCCGCTAGTAGCTCGAGGAGTCTGACACGGGCCAGCTATAGCAGTACATACCATGCGGGAGTCGATACGCGCCCTTCGTTGTGACTTCTTGTGCCTTCAAGATACACAGACGAAGCGGACCTTCACGAGGTAAGCCCATTAAAATTAGCGTATTGGCTTTTTCGCTCGTGTTTCATGCCGTACCTCTCGAACGCAGCAGTTTCGGAGAAAAACCCACATATATTTCGACCTTTATCCGACGCTGAACTCGTGGTATTGTTTGTGGAGTGATTGATGGCTTGTACAGCGAGATGTCGTTGAGACTGACTGACTGACAGACAACTACCGCCGAGGGTTAATAGTGGTTCCCTATCACGTTTGTTAAATCCCTTCAGCACTCAGTCTGTATTCATTCTGTAAACGTTAGTAAAACAAAAAGGTGTGATTTTAAGAAGCAATTCACTTTGCTTTGATGGAAAACGGTGTCATCTGCCTCCAACAGTCTCTGAACTGTGTCAGTATGTCCCATCTCAGCAGCTATGCCCAGAGGAAGACGGTCGTACTGTATGGAAAACATTATAGGAACTTACGTATCTGGCACTTGAGGCTTGATCAATATACACACCAAAGATTCCAGAAAATAGGGAGACCCTTCCCTATGACCCCAATGCTTACTGAGTGCAATCATTTAAATAATATCTACCTTATCAGCAATGTTACTATTAGCTCCTTTCTCCAGCAGTAGTCTCACTACTTCTGCATGGCCTTCAGCTGAGGCGGAGTGAAGTGGAGTCTTCCCTTCCTGTGTTATACAATTAAGTTGAAAAATCAAAATGAAGGCTATTGGGATGGCTAAATCATGAGAAACAAGGTGTCATTACATAGCTAAGACACACAAAGCTACTTATGAATATGGTCTTATGTAGCCCATTGTGTGTCCTAGCTTGTTAACCCTCGGCGCACATGCGCAGCGAGGGTTACAGTAGTTGGGATCTCTGTGTGTGTGTGTCTGTTACTCGTCATCTCACTTCTCGAGTCTTCGTTCGTCTCACAAAGGATACCACCTACTTAACGGGCAATGAAGGTCAGAAATATCGAACGGTTTTCTCTGAAAACGCTCCATTGCAAAGCTAGAGTGCTTCCACAATTGTACGGCTAATGCGTAGTCGGCCATTTTATCGCTGCGGAAAATGTGCATGTGCTTATTAACCTCGACCGTGTCCGCTTGCTCTGTGTATCTTGAAGGCACAAGAAGCCACAACGAAGGGCATGTATCGACTCTCGCATGCTATCTACTACTGTAGCTAGCCCGTGTCAGACTCTCTGCGAGCTACTAGCGGGAGACCAAGGTTAAAAACGTATACTAATAGCTCAGCTCATCAATTAGCGGTACTGCGCATGGTTTGTACTTTAGTGCTTTTCATTTTTTCATGTTTTGAACTATCCCACATACTGCTCTCACAAAACGTAGTCTCGCTAACACAGGCATATATAATGTTATCTTGCCACCCATAACCCCATAATTTTCAATCAACTAGTCTCAATCAAAGAGGTTTGTGATTTGTTTCTATACAGAAATGCTGTGTCAAAGTGTCATGCTTGGTATATGCAAGTCCTAAGATCAACCTTGTTTTGATGGTTGACAGTGGCTCCTGCCTCCAAGAGTACCTGAACTGCCTCTGTGTGTCCATTCTCAGCGGCTACCTCCAGAGGAACACTGCCACACTGTAAGACAAGAAAAAGTGAAGACTTTATTGTTTGTGGTCTTTTAGGTACATTTTAGTTTGTTGGTCACTATGTGTAATTAAATGTTCTTTCTTAACCTTTTTGGCTAGTGTGTTTTACAAAAAGGCACCTCAGTTGTGGACAGGTTGACATCAGCTCCTGACTGGATTAGTAGATCTACCACATCTGTATGTCCCTCCTGACAGGCTGCATACACTGGACTGAAACCACCCTATCAGAGTCGTCAAAAGTACAACAATGTGAGCAGCTACTGCATTTCCAGATTGTACACAGCTAGCTACGTAACCGCTAAACTTGGCATGGATTTACACTGGTGGAAATTCTCTGGAACAATGGAGCAAGTGCCTTACATGCAGTGTATAGGTACAGACAAGCTATGTCTGTATTAGCTATACACTGCATGTAAGGCACTTGCTCAGTCAATGACTGAAATATCCACAGATATTTAAAAAAGAATGACGTGAAAGCACAAGAGACAGAGAAAATGAAAGACTATGTGAAGGACCTGCACGTGTACACACAGTGCCACACAAGAAAGCGTGAAGGACATCAACACTAAATCTCTTGATTTATTGCTGGTGTGACTGATACTCTAGATAAAATTCGCCACTATTCTAGAGTATAACGTCATTATTTCCATGTATATACCTCATCACAGATATTGATGCCAGCTCCTTGTTCCAGAAGCAATCTTACTATTGTCACATGACCACCGAGTGAGGCACAGAATAATGGAGTTCTGCCACCCTGTGATCATTACACAGAGAGATATTAATAGAATGCTAGAACTATAAAAGCCAACTGAAATTGCCCATCTGCATTCCAAACTGTATTCAATAAAAGAAGAGTGCTGATTCGGCATATTTCGTACATATATTTTATTGCCGAGCGCGTTAGCATGAGGCAACTACTCCGGGTTGTATTCTCGCGATATGCGTTATGTGTCAGTCGACGCTTAAGAATGTCAATTAGTCATGCTTAGGGAATGTCAATTAGTCACACTGAGGAATGTCAATTTCCGCTGTGCGCGCAGATTCGTAGGAAGTCTGGCTTCGCGCGCAGTCAGTAGAGCGCGTTCACGAGCGGCCTCAGTCGGACTGTTTACGCATTGGCTGGCAGGCGCGAGGCAAAATATGCGTGTGCGCATTCCTAGTATAATAATATATAGATATTCTTAGTCTTATGAAGTAACAGCCAATAATGCCACATTCATTCTGCAGACGCAACCCCATTGGCATATTTTTCTGTCTCTTCTGCGTAATGTAATATGTAAGTAAATGCCTCTCAAACCAACCTTGCATGTGTACCGTAGTGAGAAGCTGAGGAGCGAAATGGATAGCTACACTTACCCAAGGCATGTGAGGAAGTTCACACACAATTGCGCAGACAGCGCCCATTTTGCCAAGTAGCAAGGCGTACTAACCAAACGAAGTACGTTAACACTTAGATGGCAATAAAGGTTCAGGAATAAAGAGAGACACCAACATGTCTATGACATTTCCCGTTGGAGTACCAAGTAGTCATACTGGCATTGGCTAGCCAAACATGCATGAAAGTGTTTCAGGAATACAAGTAAATTAGGGTTCATAGGGGTGACAATCGGTCATGTGCTATGAGACTATCAATGCTGTCATAAATGAAAAGCACTAAAGTGCAAACCCTCGGCGAACTGCACATGCGTGATACTGCTAATTGATTGGCTGGGCTATTGTAGGCCTTTACTCGTGGTCTCCCGCTAGTAGCTCGCGGAAAAAATCTGTCACGGACTAGTAGATAGTATGCGGGAGTCAATACACGCCCTTCGTTGTGACTTCCTGATCCCCCAAGGTACACAGAGCGAGCGGATCAGGTCACGGTAAGCCCTTTGCGATTATGCATATTGGCTTTTTCGCTTGTTTTCATGGCATATCTCTCGAACGCAGTCGTTTCAGGAAAATCACCCTTTTGTTTTTCAGGCTCGCGTAGTTCTGAAGCCGCTGGTATCTTTAATAGACTGCCTCGTAGGCTGTAGTACCAGAATAAGCGTCAACACACACACACACACCATTTTTACAGTTGTGAGTATCACCAGAGTAAAAAAATACATCACTCAGGACCATAGAGTAACAAGCCCACTTCCCCCTTAGGATATTCCATACCTATGACATCACAACTCCCTATAAATACCCCACTGTGCATTAGTAGAACCATAGGATTGCAAGTCTCCCAGAGAGCCTAAGGTATGTTATTGTCAATACAGTACTGTAAGCTGTAGATTTTGCACTAGCCATCAAAGATCTTTAACTCACCGTCCCCAATTCTCAAGGCTGGGCATCCATGTCCTACTCTTGTGCTTGCATATATAGTACATACACACACATACTGTTCTACGTAACATTAGTATATACCTTGCTCTCCTAGTTCCCTATTACTCCCATAACTTAGGTGCCCTTGCAAATATATAAATGACACAGAAACAGTAGAGTAGAATAATAGCTCAATATTGCCCATGCATGTCCCCAAGTAGAGCAGAAGTGAGTCAACAATTAATGATGCATGCACTCTGGACATTAGATAGATGACAGACAAACATGGGCAGAGGGGCAGGGCTCGCTAGCTGTTTGATTTGGGGATTGGTAACGACAGTAATGTAGAACATGCACCAAATAGCATGTGGAAGCACACTGCGGTTTGTAACTCCATGCGCAACTTGAATGTACAATGTCTGGTGGCCCGGTGCTTTGATGACGCTGACAAGTCCCCCCGGTCTCTTGTCACTACACCTCGTTCCCCACAACTCTCCCCCTCCTTTCTCTTCTTAACCCATACCAAACACAGAGAGACAAACCAACTACTGTAACCCTCGCTGTGCATGCACGCCGAGGGTTAATTATTCCATCACTGACCCTACACTGGTAGTCGACAGGTACCCCTGTCTCCAACAGCCTTTGAACTGTCTCAATATGACCACTGTCAACAGCTATCTCCAGAGGAACAATAAGGAAAGACAAAACATTAATTGTCTATTGTCTGGCACTGTTGCCCTTTTCAAGCATGCGGAAGAAATAGTGTGTGACATCAGACTGATGGTTAAAATGCAAGATGACATACCTTACTGGCCAAGTGTATGTCAGCTCCTGCTGTGACTAGTAGGTCCACAACATCTGTATCACCTTTTTGGCAGGCTACAAACACTGGACTGAAACCATCCTGTATATATGTAGCAAATAGTGACACAAGTCCTTCTTCAAATACTTTTAGGAGTCTATACGTATACATGCTCAATCCATGTGCATTAATGGGCAATGGGGCCCTCGAAGTAGCATCTGAGTGAACTACACCGTATTGCTTTTTGGGCCAGTCATTTGTGCAAGATATAGATACGTACCAAACAGAATCCACATCATCAAGTGCATTATTCAGATTGCGTACAATATTATGCAGACTGCAACTGACAAAAATAGACAACATGCCTTATCACAGATGTTGACACCAGCTCCTCTCTCCAGTAGCAGTCTTACTACTTCAGCATGACCATTGAATGAGGCACCAAAGAGTGGAGTCCTACCATCCTATTTATAAGAGAAATTGTATAAATTGGGCAGTTGCTTATTTAGTAATTTTCAGACAACGAGGATGTTTGCATTAAATTGGGTATAGGAAAGGTAGCCTACTAGCGAGCAACCCCTCAATTTATAGTTAGTGATTGACGGCTAGGCTGAATAGGTAGAGGAGAGCTTAGGGTGGCTATTGGCTATTAGGCTGGGAGATTTGATATCAGAAAGAATTTTTGATGGTACTTTACAGATAGACACACCTTTTTCTGGTAGTTGGTCATGGCTCCTGCCTCCAAAAGTCTTTGAACTGTTTCAGCATGCCCATTCTCAGAAGCAATCCCCAGAGGAATATTGCCATTCTGTGTGAGAGTATGTATGCGTGATCTGACTGAGCCCGACATCCGTCTGCTTCACTGAAGAAGGCACAAGTAATACAATATTATACCTTTGTAGCCAGGTGGATGTCAGCTCCTTCCTGGACTAGTAGGTCCACTATTTCGGTGTGGCCATTCTGACTGGCAACAAAAATTGGACTGAAACCATCCTGCAATGGTTTATAAAGTCAACCTTGGTAAACGTGATTTCTGAGTCAATATCACATTTCGACTGTAGAGACTGGTAGAGAGTTATGGCACATCAGACATTGTGTGATATTGTGTGATACGAGCACTTAGTGTTTATTAAGCTGAGAAAACAGCTTACAGGGTAGAAAGAATGGTAACACACTCAGAAAGCACTACGTATAATTATGCATGTAGCGAGAGTTCCGCTATTTCTTGGCATTAAAATTATCCTGTTGAAGTCTTGGGTTCGCTCATGGCTCAAGGGTCATCCATAACTAACAGCAAAATTGCCCTATGTATGTATGTACGTACCTTATCACAGATATTCACACCAGCTCCCTTTTCAAGCAATATCCTCACAACTGGTAAATGGCCATTGAATGAGGCAAAGAACAATGGTGTCCTGCCATCCTGTGTAATAATATTATAGTAAATGAAGGTGTAAAAGCTGATCATTATACCTTCCTCCGGAAGTCGACAGCAGCTCCTGCTTCTAACAGTCTCTGAACTGTTTCAGCATGTCCATTCTCAGCAGCTATCTCCAGAGGAACACTGCCATACTGTGTGAGAGTATGAGAGCTTTTAGTAAACTGAAGGAGTAGAAGCTAGGTAAACCCTGTGTTTTTTGTTTCACTCGTAACACTATGTTTGCATAGTATCATGAGATTACACATGATAAGAGTTCTACCCAGAAGATGATCTTGAGTAAGGCATTCATGAAAGCCGTTCCCTTGCATTTACTCTGTAAACATGGCCATGGAAATAAACACACCTGTGCAGAAAAGCTGCCCATTCTCTAACTGCTACACCCCATAGCTAACGCAACTTCTACTGTGCAGAGAACAAGGTCAAATAAAGCCGATGTGTATAAGCATTGGGTTTGTTCCACAAAATCCTTAAGATTAAGCCAATGTATGTAGCACTGAACCTTTATTGTTGTAGTTGTATATACCAGGTGGCAGAAAACGAGAGAAAGATGCATAGACAGACACATTCACAACACAATTGCAGCCCATGCTGCACATTGAACACAGACACACCAAAACATCTCCTACTTCAGTAATAGGCCGGTGTATGTCAGCTCCTGCCTGTACCAGTAGATCCACAACATCTGCGTGGCCATTCTGGCTGGCAACAGAGATTGGGCTGACATTACCCTGTGGTTGCAATTGCATAATCATTCTGAAGTGTGAAATAACTTTAAATGAGAGAGACAACTACCAAGGCCTACAAATAAAAAAGGAAGCTGGATATACGTAGGGATGGCTCAAAGCGCCAAAAAGGAAGAAACAAGGGGCGTTAGGAAGCTATACATCATCTACTATATCTTTGTCTAATTGCCGAGCGCGTTAGCGTGAGGCAACTACTCCGGGTTGTATTCTCGCGATATGCGTACGTACGTACGTGTTGTCACGTTTAAGAATGTCAATTAGTCATGCTTAGGAAGTGTAACTTCCGTCATTCGTAGGAAGTCTAGCTTCCGCCGTGCGCGCAGATTCGTAGGAAGTCTGGCTTCGCGCGCAGTCAGTAGAGCGCTGTTTACGCATTGGCTGGCAGGCGCGAGGCAAAATATGCGCGTGTGCATTCCTAGTATTATTTACCTGGTGATTCTCATATGGTGAACAAAATTTGCCCAATTTGTACATGTTCTCCCTACGCACCTTATCGCAGATGTTGACACCAGCTCCTCTCTCCAGTAGCAGTCTTACTACTCCAGCATGACCATTGAATGAGGCACCAAAGAGTGGAGTCCTACCATCCTGTGTCATAGAAAAAGCAGCATTGGTTGTCAGACTATCAAAGGACGTAAGTTCATACTGGAACTACATACGTACCTATCAATTGTGTAGGCTATACGGTATTTTGCAATTACATATGTGATTAAAATAATTGTTAACACTTTGCGCGCCGCGTAGTATTACGGAAATTTATCCGCGTACGCGGAATTACGCATGCGCGGAATATTGCCACGCCCATCCGCGTAATACATAATTCCGCGCCACTAAAGTGGCGCGTGGCGTTGCTGAGCTTTGGACATCACATGGGCTACATATATAGGATGGCAGCACTACACAGGTAGTGTGCATGAGTGTGTTGTCACCGAGAGCATCTCAACCAAAACCATTAAATGGTGTGTGCAGCTCTCCTAAGAAAATGATCAAAAACCCCATCATTCACCTTCCTCTGGTAGTTGACAATGGCACCAGCATCCAACAGGCACTTAGCTGTCTCGGTATGTCCGCTGGCAGCTGCTATCTCGAGAGGAACACCACCAGACTATACGACAGTAGAGACGAGGATAGACATACGTACATTGCTCAATGACACTCACACTAATTAGGACAGAGTATACAGCACACGTAGTGGCATGAAGAACTAACACATACCTTAGTTGTGGCTAGGTGGATATCAGCTCCTGCCTTGACTAGTAGGTCCACTACATCTGTGTGACCTTCCTGGCTTGCTAAATAGACCGGACTAAAACCATCCTGTGTATATACGCAATGTAACTAAACAAGTACGAAGGGAACAATGGATAGATATAATACATTACTAAGTCGTGTGTGAAAAAACATTTCAGGGAAAAAGGGAAAAAAAGTGAGAACAAGTTCCGATAACCATCAGCATTCATTTCTACTAAAATATATCGACACAGACTGTCTTTGCACATGGACGTGTTTGCATACTAGCGTCAACTGAACGTTCATAAGCATTACACGCAAGCTTCGGGGTGTGTATGGACATGTTTTTTTGCTCTCCTAAAGTCATAACAAGAGCAGTAATATACGTATAATATGATTTATGATTTTAATGGAACCATGGAGTTAACACTAGCTGTGCGTGCGTTTCAATCTCAATGCGTACCTTATTACAGACGTTGACACTAACTCCTTTCTCCAGCAGCAGTCTGACTACCTGAACATGTCCATTCATTGCTGCATTCAGGAGTGCAGTTATGCCATTCTATGAGAGAGCAACACATTATCTTGTGACTCGTTACCCCATGCATTACCGGTGATACAAGTATAATGAAAAGCACTGAAGTGCAAACCCTCGGCGAACTGCGCACGCGCGGTACAACTAATTGATGGGCTGGGCTTTTAGTAGGCGTATACTCGTGATATCCACGCTAGTAGCTCGCGGAGAGTCTGACACGGACTAACTACAGTAGTAGATAGCATGCAGGAGTCGATACACGCCCTTCATTGTGACTTCTTCGAGAAGTGAGATGAAGAGTAACAGACAGACACACAGACACACAGACAGACCCAACTACCGTAACCTTCGCTGCGCATGCGCGCCGAGGGTTAACTACGGTGTGTGTTTTATAAACATTAAAACGTTGGGTTGAGAGTACCAACCAGTAATTAAGTGCATATGTAATAGTAAGAACATGCCCATTGAGGGTGGTCACCTATACAGACGAAGTAATATTACGTAATCCTGAGGACACCAACCAACGTAATATTGTGTAGTGGAATTAGGCACTGTTCTTACATACCTGAAACGGAAAATCACTATGGCAACGCGATGTCAAACGACAGGTCAATGCTCGCCATTAGCGCGTGGGAAGAAGGCTGCCATTAACTAGAAGAAGAATGCAATGTGTGACCCAAAGGACACGGCAAACGACAGCTACGTACGTAGTACCACAGTGACAGAGACCTTGAGTATAGCCACAGCAGGAGTCTCTCTGTGAGCCACAACAGTGAGGGTTTATCAGTGAATTAGCCCAACGCCTGGTCACTTACCTAGGTGGCTGTGCATGGGTTCGGCGTGGCATACATAGCGACCTACAAGGCAACGAGCGCCCGGTTGCCACGGGCATTGGAATTCACAGCTTTGCAGACAGTAAGTGTAGGTAAAAGGGATCCAAGAATCATTTGCTCTTGAAGCAGTGACACTTCACTCCGTGTTAGAACGATTCTCTCTATGTTAGAAAGGTCTCTCTCTGTCATGTATTAGCGCCGTTGCATTCGTGATACACACTTCCCTCTGCTATACATTTAAAGCTGAAACATTTAGTTAATCCCCAAACCTTGTTCTGGTAGTTCACAGTGGCTCCTGCTTCCAACAGTCTCTGAACTGTCTCTGTATGCCCAAGGGTAGCAGCTATCCCCAGAGGAACAGTGCCAGACTGTGTCAAAATATGAGAAACAGCAGAAGAGAGAAAGAAACTGATTATCTAAATGCACACACTAACTGAAGAGGGCACTACTGAAGAGGCCAAGGTGAAATTTGTGTACATCTATAACTTAGTGGTGGCCAGGTGAATGTCAGCTCCTTCCTGGATTAATAGGTCCACTACATCTGTGTGGCCTCCCTGGCTGGCTAAAAACACTGCACTGAAACCGCCCTGGATGTGACAAAACTTTTGTAGTGTCATCCAAGATAATAAATACTACATAAAAATGAAAAGTACTGAAGTGCAAACCCTCGGCGCACCGTGACGCGTACGCGTAAGTAAACGCATGCGCCGTACCACTAATTGATGGGCTGGGTTTAGTTTTAGCTGTTACTTGTGGTCTCTTGCCAGCTAGCGCAGAGTCTGACGCGGGCTAACTACACCACTAGATAGCATGCGAGAGGCGATACACGCCCTGCTTTGCATCTTCTGGTGCCTCCGAAGTACGCAGAGCACGCGGATCGATCCGACTGTGGTAAGCCATCCCGTCCGTTGTGTATTTGCATATTGGCTTTTTCACGTTCTAGCTTTGCAACGGAGCAGTTTCAGAGAAAACCGTTCGAAACTTTCTGACCTCCATTGCTCATTAAGTAGGTCGTATCCTTTGTGAGATGAACAAACACTAGAGAAGTCAGATGAGGAGTAACAGACACAGACACACACACACAGACCCAACTACAGTAACCCTCGCTGTGCATGCGCGCCGAGGGTTAATAATGCACAAAATGATCAAATGGGGTGGAGAAGTGGATGATGAGATATCATCAACTGCTCAATGAATACTGTTAAGTTCTATTCTGGTTTTGTAATCATTAGTTATCTCTAACCTTCCTCTGATGGTTGACAGGGGCTCCTGCTTGTAAAAGTCTTCTAACTGTCTCAGTGTGTCCGCTACCAGAAGCTATCTCAAGGGGAACAATGCCATACTGCAAGTGAAAATAATACTAAGAGCTGTGCAATTAAACAGGACACTAAAACATTATTATACCTCAATGGAGGAAAGATGTATGTCAGCTCCTGCCTGGATTAGTAGGTCCACTACATCTGTGTGACCATTCTCACTGGCAGCATATACTGGGCTGCAGCCATGCTATGTTTGCAATAAGTTCGTATACTTACTAGTGATTTTTTTAACGTAAGTTCATGTTTGTAAGAAAATAAATTGCTTGGCCAAGATGAACATCCCTTCTTAACGCAGGATAATCTCGTACGATTCTAAACTCATGGTGTCATTAAGGTTCTAGGTCATTATAGATAAAAGGTGCAAAATACTTTGTGAAATCACACGTGCCATATGTACAGTAACTATACACTATCTCTTTGCCCGAACCCTCGAAAATTGTAATGACTTTGTATAATAATCACTATTAGATGGAATTGCTTTTGCAGAATGAGATTTTCCTGCAATACAACGTGAAATGTCAGCTAAGGTAATTATTCTATAGTCCATACCTACGTACCTTACTACAGATATTGACATCAGCTCCCTTTTCTAGCAGTAATTTGACTACTCCCATATGACCTCCAAGTGAGGCACAAATAAGTGGAGTCCAGCCAGCCTGTGTCATATAATTATATCAACAAATCCTAAACCATGACATAAATATATAATCATTATGATTTGAACCAGCCCTTTATAGTAGAAACTGCTGCACGTGTGTAAAGCTTCTGTGATTGTATGTGTAGTCTCTATTTTGAGTGCATGCGTCGAGGTGCATGCATGTAGAGAAAGGGGGAGTGAAAATGTGTATGTTGTATTTGAACAGGTTGAAAAGGACACCACCGCTTCGACGCATGCACCAAAATTGGTATGGCACACGAGACTAGTATGAAGGCATTAAACTCATACTGTAAAATACTGTACTTGCACCCTACCTATTCACCCCTTATTAAACTGGTATTTTACAGATATGGTATCATGTGAGGGGTGACTGCAAACTGCATTCACAGTTTATGAGTTTAAACTGTGCTTGTGTACCCCAGAAGCCATAGAAGCTAGTCAAAGGTCCCGCGTACGCGGGTATACTCTGAACCACTGGCCGCAACTGACGGCACCCAAAAACTTCATCGGGGATAATCATATCCACCGGAGGGTATGAGTATTAGAACTACGGAGACGGCAAACAAAGCAAAAATCTACATTCTGTGTGGTGGTTCTACCGTTCTACACGCCGTGAAGTAGTCCTAAACCACCACTGAGGTATCGCTTAGGCCGAGCGTCGGTCCTGGAGGCGAGCACTGTAGTCTGCGTTCAAACCGTCCGCAACGTGCGTCATTGCCAACGTGTAGACCTTCACTGGAACTGCCTATAACAGTGTACGTAGCAGTGTTCCTGGGCTACAAAATGGGTAACCCACAGGTGCTGAAGAGGTACTGGATATCACTTCTGTCTTCAGACGGTATTGAAAACGGCTTCGGGAATATCCCGTCCCGGTTCAGCACCCGTTAGTTAACCATTACTTTGCAAGATTAGAGTTCCGTACGGCATCCAATGATAAATAATTATGATGGCACCTGGTTCACCTTGCTCTTGTGGTTAACAGTAGCTCCTGCCTCCAGGAGCCTTTGAACTGTTGCTGTATGTCCTTTGGTAGCAGCTATCATCAAAGAATCACTCCCATACTGTGAGAGATGAGAAAGAATAATATAGTCAACAGATTTGAGAGCTGAGGTACACACATTAATCAGAAACAACAGCAAGCATAGAATATTATACAGGTCAACTACTATGAAATTAGTCTCGCAGTTCCAACTGAAAGGAAATATTTGTATATACAGTAAAAGGTATACCTTATCAGTGCTTGCAAGATGAATGTCAGCTCCTGCCTGAACTAGTAGGTCCACTACATCCGTGTGGCCTCCAAGGCAGGCCACGTGCAGTGGACTGATACCATCCTGTGATAAGAATGTTCAAACTAATGTGGTTGTGATATAGTAATAGAATAAGGTGGAGTTATCCCAATTCCTATCCACTGTAGCTAACATCACTAATAACAAAATTTACCTTACGGCGGCTACAAAAATCTGCACCACCCTTTAGCAGTATTTCTACTATCTTTGTGTGACCTCTTGCTGAAGCCCAGAACAGTGGAGTCCTGTTATTCTGCAAAATAATGTGTTATTTTAACTCTAAAATGACTACTACGTCAATGAAAAGCACTAAAGTGCAAAGTCTCAGCGAACTGCGCATGCGCGGTACCGCTAATTGATGGGGAGCCTATTATACGTTTACTCGTGATCTCCCGCTAGTAGCTCACGGAGAGTCTGACACAGGCTAGCTACAGTAGTAGATAGCATGCGGGAGTCGATACACGCCCTTCGTTGTGGCTTCTTGTGTGTCCGAGGTACACAGAGCAAGCGGATAAGGTCGAGGTAAGCCAGTGGTAATTAGCATATTGGCTTGTTCACTTGGTTTTTACGCCATCACTTCTGAACGCGGCACTTTTACGAAAATCACCTATTTTAAAATAAAACCAGTGTAGCGCTGAACCCGCTGGTGTCCCTATTTTACCTGTTTGTTGCGCGTGGTGGCAGAAATCGTGGTAACAGACGGACAGACGGACAGACAGACAGAACGACTACTGTAACCCTCGCTGCACATGCGCGCGCCGAGGGTTAATAACATTAACACGAAAAACATGTATTTAACAGTGGATTCCCTAAAAAATATATTTGCATAATGGAAAAGCTTGTCTTCATTCTCCACAAAAGCCGAATGAAAATTCATAGTCAAGGACCCTACATATGTAAGTCTCGGTGAAAACACCCAATTCGGTTTTGTAACACCAACATACACAATAAAGTTTTACCTATACATACATAACATACACAGTGACATACTTTGTCAACAGTATTAAGGTCAGCTCCCGCCTTGACCAACAGACAAACAACTTCAACATGACCTCCCTTGGAGCTGAGGTGCAGAGCTGTCTCTCCTGTCTGCAGGTGTAATTGGAGCTCATCCTACATAGTACGTGTATAGAGGGACTCACAATTGCATTCGTGGAGTTAATGTCAACATTTCCTGCCGAGAGCAGTCTCTGAACCGTCTCAGCATCTCCCCTTTTAGCAGCATCATGGAGCACTGTTTCCCTGTTGTGGACTGAATAAGTGCACAATGTATTTGTTCACAAATTATACCTGGTTGATTCTTGTACAGGAGCATCCCCCTTGGAACAATGCTCGACGTGGCTGTCAAACTGACGCAGCTTTCCCTTCCACTTACACCCTCTGTCCACATGGGGACAGAATACCCTGAGAGCCCCAACCATATCCTGCAATTCCTTGTTCAATAGTGTGCTCCAATTGGATCTCCTGCACAACGGACATGGATTCCCCTCCCTCTGTATTCTGAATACAGCTCTCTCTGAGAGATTTTTGCCACAGCACGATGTGAGGTGAGGCTCAACCATTACATCATATGTGACTGGACAGTAGAAATCCTGAGATGGCTCTTCAACAAATGGATACTCTTGTGCCAAGGGATACTCTTGAGGTAAAGAACTATGAAAAGAAATTAAGTTTGACGGAATTACTTATAAAGTCACTTACTCGCTAGGTAATGGAATACTTCCAGGTTCACTGGCGGCTACTGAATGATCATCCTACATGTAAGGAAAGGATTTATAAATATAGTATTAACTATGTGTATAGGCGAGTTTCTATCAGGGAAACTCTCGCAGGTAAGTTATTTCAACCTGTCCAGATTTCATGAATATAATTTAACAGGGTTATAAAGCTTTCACTCAACATATTGGAAACAGTTTTGCTTGAAGAAAAGATAAAACTGGAAATTTGTTTCACTCCCACAGTACAGATAATCAAACACGATGCTTTACCACTTTTAACTTCGTTTCATCTGCCGGAACATAGTTGATACCTGTTAAAAATATTATGATTAACAGTTATAAGAATACAGTTCATTACATACTTTCTTCTGTGGAGACTGATTGGTCAGCTTTAGATCCACCTGTAGTACGTTAGGTGGCCATTTCAATCAGCAAAACCGTTTTTTATATCCTGAAAAACTTGGGAGTTTACCTGCTGCAGTCTGGGACTCGACAGATTCAGTTGAGCACTCAGCATCTGATTTTAGAAAATATCCACGTTGTGTGAGACTGCTGGAGCGTGTCAGTTATTGTTAACGTACCAGTGGCCCCGACATCTTCCTCTGAAGAGATACGAACTTCGGTCTCACCTCCATGTTGTGGTTCGTCTGTAGCTGTTGTAGAGTCCTGACATGGATCTGTAAGAGATATAACTTAATTGCACCATCATTGGTTTCTTTAACACACCCTCGAAAGGTCCAGTATCAATCAGCGAAGATCCCTCGGCTTCGCAAGGGATTTCATCAGATGGCTCTGTAGACAAATTTGCTTTTCCAACATCTCTGAATGAAAAAGGAAGGATAGCCTGGTTGTTATGAAAGGCAAAACGAATACTAATGGCGATCCTCTCCCAGAAATCTGTTATACATACTGACTGAACAGAGTTATAATTAAATGCAAACCCTCTGCGAATTGTGCATGCGCGGTACCACTAATAATTGATAGGCTGGGCATTTAGTATGGGTCTATTCGTGGTCTCCCGCTTGTAGCTCACGGATCAGAGGCTGACACGGGCTAGTGACAGTAGTAGATAGCATGTGGGAGTCGACACATGCCCTTCGTTGTGATTTCTTGTGCCTTCAAGATACACAGAGCGAGCGGACCCGTGTAAGCCTGTACTATTTTGCATATTGGCTTGATGACTTGGTTTTCACCCCATAACTCTCGAACAAAGTGCTTTTACAAAAATCGCCACGTTTAAAATCAAGCCAGTGTAGCGCTGAACCTGTTGGTGTCGCGTTTTGGCCGGTTTGTTGCGTGGCAGAAAACGTGGTAACAGACAGACAGATATATAGACAGACCACGAAGATTGGAAAGAGATACAGCCTTGGCCAGGCACTGAAAAGTGCAGCGAATGCCGCCGAATGGACGAGAGTATACTGTCACTGCCTAGATCGCGCATAGAGGATCAAGCTAAGCAGCATGTGAAAATGATTTATAATAAAAAGAAGTGCGTAATCCAAATGCATGCACCGTTGAACGACGTATATACAGTCCTACATATAAATTACGCCATTGACACCACCGCGTTAGCTCGCTCCCACTAGGCTAATGTGGACACTTACTTCTCAAATGTTGAATCAGAGTCTGGTGGATCATCATCCTGCACTTCCTGCAACACAAACATGATGTTCACCACCACGTAGCTCTGTAATTACCTACCTCTTCTTCAGGAGAACAGCGGTAGATGCAGGCACCAGCAATTGTGAGCTTAGTGATGAAGTATTTCTTGAGAATTTGTACGGGCACATTGTGCCTCAGAATATTAGTGATGGATTTAGGTACCATCCATAGGATTAAGAAAGAACCAGGGCAGACTTCGAAAAGCATCATGGCAAATTCACGGAGTCGGTAGTGAGAGGCATACTCCTGTCGAAATTGCTCTACGTCTTCCAGTGTTATTTCCTGCTCCCTTGGCCATGTAAATTCTGCGGCTACATCCACGAAATCAGGTGAAAATTTGACTCTTTTTCTTTTTTGTGCCCGACAAAAGAGAGATAATGGCGTCTTCATTCTGAACTGATGCAGATTCGACTTGTATCCCTCCATTTGAGCTTTCACATCCTCCAAATCTAATTTACAGACGAGATGATCGAGAAGGCTTGGGTCGAGATAGTTCCAGTGAAAATTCATGTGCCCAAAGAGCTCAAAATAATCTGCTGCTGCAAACAAATCTTTCACATGCCCCTCCAGGAACTGTGCATGATTTTCATCGTGATCAGGGGAAAGTGATGTCAGAACATATACAACTTTCTTCACAATAATTTTATGTTTCTCAAGACATTCCCTAATAACTTCTTTTAGCTTATGGAAACCCATATCCAACTGCTGTATCATCTTCTTCACTTCAATAGTCGACGACGTGAGAACAAGAGGCAACGGTCGGTCACAAGCAGCAAAACGCCTTAGGTTCTAAGAGTATAATACACAACAGTTTAGGTGACGTACATGTACATTGGCTGACGTGTTTGCCTTGTCTTGCCTTTCTACCTCGCTACCAAGTTGTTGAGACATGCATATGCTCGATTTAGAGTTGGGCGTCTTTGGAAGTTTAATTGCCCCGGTCTGCTCCTACATACTGAGTGAGAGTATACTGCGCTATAGCACAGATGGTTTGCAGAGTGTCATGGGTTCGAATCCCACCCAGCTCTTCTTCTTTTCTTTAAAAAGAAAGAGCTGTCCTGGGTGTAGTTGACTTGTTTGCCTTGCCTTGCCTTTCTACTTCGCTACCAAGTTGTTGAGACACACATATATCCCTGAAGTAGTATAGCTATACTAGAGGAATGTGACACACTTTTGGCTAGTGATTTGGTGCATTTAAATATTTTGCGCGTTGTAGCGCGCATTTAAAATAACGTAAATATTACGTTTACAGATTAGTATATTACTATAATCATATGGAAAATTCCGCTTTCAGGTGGGCTCGTTTGGCTCTCCAATTAGTGCTGGCACCAGATCACACAGGAATACCTTAAATGCTTCAGTATAAAAGCTTAGGTGAGGGACACTATGCATGCACCCACAGCATCAAAGTGTGTTCTCTCTGAGACTGCCCAGAAAATTTTTGGGTGCTAATGTTATTTATATGCACAATGCAGGTTGAATTGCTGTGCACAATGCACTGCTAATTTGTACATAAGCACTGATGTTCTACAGCACTGATCATCATGGATGCTTCTTTGGTTTGGGAGAGGTGTGATGGTGGGGCATTTTGCTATTAGCATACACAACAAAACACCTCTACCAATTGCTGCAAGGCTCTATCGAACCTAGATGTCCAGCAAGCACTAGGGTGTCAACAAGTCATTAGTTAGGGCTATGTATATTTTATTGTTTTTGTGTCTGTCAATTGAAGTGCTTAGTGATGTTCTGAGTTTGCATCACATCCAATGAAACCCCCTCTATACCTCTGCCCGTATACTGAGCCTGGTTCCTAGGCTGGATATCTAGATAATTAAACAGCTTTGCACAATCAGTTCTAGCACATGCGTAAGATATTAAGTGAAATCTCACAAAATCTACAATCTTAGACAAGCCTAAGATTTCCCAGAGAATGTTTACCAAGCCCCTAAGTCAGATAAAAACTTATACCGAATGGCGTAAGATGCACCTCAATCGCTTACGTCGTCCATAAAATGGCTGTAGCTCACTCAGTCCTCCTGACTATCACACCTGGCTAGTCACTCTTGATGCATCTAATACCTTCTATATAATTATGGCACCGAGAAACTCTGCTTCAATTTGTTATCCAACTGCCGTTAATGCACAAAGAATATAGCAATAATAATAATAACGTTTTAGGGGTGAGGCCATACACACACATACACGTAGCGCTTTGTTTTGAGGACACTGCATGTGCTGTGGCCTCAAATGAATATTAATGTGGCTCAGTAGTATACATAGTGTCATATATACCCAACCGCTCCACCCACAAGTACAGTAAAGTGCCAATAGTTACTACACCCCTTTTCCACGTGATAAGTGGGTTGGGGTCTCGACACGAGACTATTAAATTACCATTCTCTGTTGGAATACTATGATGAATATCCTCACGGGGTGAAACACTCAGTTCTTTAATACTTCGAGCCAATCGTATAAAACCCACTTGTTTAAGAACAGCAATGAGAGTTACCCACGTTACTGGCTCTTTTCCACCACCCTGGAGCCACCTTGAGAAAATATGATGAGCTATATTAGCTGGTTGATAATGTTCAGAGATTACTATCGTCTCTGTTTTGGTACCATCATCGTCTTCCAACAAGAGGGAGCCAAGTGCTTTATATTTTATCCCTATACTTTCAATTATCCTGATTCCCTTTCCTGATTGTGTCGGCAGAAAGGTTAGTTTCGGCAGTGTTGGAGTATCAGATAGGTTTAAAAGTGTAGTTTGTTCCTCATGAGCAACCGGAGCACCTGCAAGCGTCAGTAAGCAAAATCAAACCCACTCAGCTACCGGGCCAACGTCATCAAATGAATACCTGTTGACATGTCGATGCCTTTGATGGAGCCCCGTACAACGACACGAGGTGGGGGTGACGCCGACCGACGCTACAGCACTTGTCAAGGGTGGGGCAGTTTTATGCTAGGTCAAAGGTCATTCGACGCGCTCGCAGCCTCGCGGAAGGCGTGGCTTCGCGAGCCCGCGCTGATAACAACAGAAAAATTTTCAACATTGTTGCCGAGCGGGAGCGACCCAACTTGGGATTTGTCCGCGATGTTCGGGCTGCATAACGTGCCGTCAGCGCTCAGCTTTCCTTTAGTGAAGCAAGACAGAGCTACCTGTCGCCGTTACATGCGTACTGTATATTGCCAGAACGGTGAGCAGGTGAGTAGAACGGTCCTTACCTTACGCTTTCAGCTCGTCTGTCGTGGTCCACCAGGCAGCTGGCATGGAAGTAGGCTAGGCAGCGATCGATATCAGGCTGCTCGACAACGCGGCTTGTGTTAGCGGGCGGGGCCGGCTGTGTGTGAAAATGTGTAAAAATTTGGAAATAATTTCGGATAAAAAGAAGCGCGTACAAATCCGCGCATGCGCACTTACACGACGGTCGCGGTCGGTCGGTCGTATAAAAATCGGCCCGTATATACCGTTGCGATGACTAGGTTGGCTCGCTCCCGCTCGCCAATTATAGGACCCCATGGGTCGTTAGGTCGGGTCCGTCATAGTGCCTTTTCCTATACCACCTTCCATGGGAGTCACTGTTTGCTGCCAACTCAGCAAGCAATGAGCAGCATGCGCCGAGCGCAGGGGCGTTGTCCTTATGCGCGCAGTGCCAAGCGCGCATTGTGAGTGCGGTTCCTTCTTCTGCAAGCAAGTAAAATCGGTCTACAACAAGCTAACAACCAGCGTTTGCTGTCGGCTTGCGTTGGGAACAACTTCCGAGAGTATGTGTGCAGAGAGCCTTCATTATTTGTGCCCAGCTAGATACTACTATTGCTACAGCCTGCCCACCCATGAACCACCACCCTGTGTCCAGGTGCTGTAACCTAATAGTTATTACATCCATGTACAAAGATTATAAAGGGATGGTGTCATGCTGCTCTGCGTATCTTTGCTGTGCAATGACCCCTTGCTTGTTACTTTTTGGTGCTTTGAGCCATCCCTTTATCCCCCTTCATTTTGAAGAAATGATTTTTCCACTTGTAAAAAATGCATTAACAATACAGCTGTTGACAGTCCCATTCAGAAAATTTTCAGCGATGCTACTCCAAAGACAGTATTCGATGGCATGACCCTTATCAATAGGTGCAATATTGCTGCATTGGCATGTAAACAAGTGGAAGTCCTCAATCAGCCTGGAACTGTACCAAATCTAGACCAAGGTTGGCAGGCCATTGTCAAGCTTGAGCTGAAGAAATATTCTGTTAGTCAAAAAGGAAATGGAAGAGGAATTAAAGGGAAAGTTTCCAATGGAAGACACAGTTGTGTTTAGCCTTCACCAACATACTCTAAAGGAAAAAGAGAGGTTATCAAGAAGAAATTTACCGTGTCAACTCTTTTTGGCCCTGTGACGAACACAGGCTTGTTGGCCTCAAAGAATTTGAGAAACAACTTGTTGAATGGAGTGATAATGGCAAAGAAGTTGTTAGTGGAGCTCTTTTTCACATTAAAATCGAAAATTACACCTGCTCAAAAAAAACTTTGCGAAAGAGTATTCTGTGACCTGGTAAAAGAACAAGATTGAAGCCAAGGTGACAAAAGCCATAGGGAACTCAACTCCTCTTGTGCAAGAAATTTCAGCTGTGGTTGAAAACTTCAAAGCAATGGAGGCCAGCAGCTGTGGAACTGATGGAAGGGAGGATTGCAGAACTTCAGCAGCTCACAGACACTCTGAAAGTAATTCCAGGCACGTCACAGGATGTGACAACAATTTGAAGAGGTGCTGATCGAATCAAACTGAGTTGGAAACCCCTAACCACAACCCTGAATCAGTAGAGTTCTATGTCATTTCAAAGAGAACCATGCAAGGGAGGAGAGTGGGAAGAGGTTAAGAAATCTGAAAACACAACGGCATTGATAACAGTAAAAGCTACTAAATTAATACGCTTGTGTCCAGCAATGAAGATGGTACAGAATGTAAAACACTGTGCGATAAAGCCAAATCAGCCTGCAGAGGTGCTGCTTTATCTTCATACAAACTGCCGGTGTTTATCAACACGTGTGCATATGCAGCCGTTCACAGAACTACCCTTTCGAAATCCCAGAACAAACTACACACAAGGAAGTTACCATATAGAGCTACTTTACCCGTGAGTTTACTCCTTTCCCTAATAGTTCACCAGTAGGTGCAATCATTGCTGCAAGACTTAGCTACAGCCACATCGAAAGGAGACATTACAGAGGATTAGCCTCATCAATATTTGTGAAGGTTTATTGACAAACGTGTATGAAAACATGATTGCAAGTACAAGAATTATTCTTCGGATCACTGAATGTTGATATTTTTACTCTTGGAACAGGCATATAATTTGCATCCAAGTTATAAAGAGCACAAAACTTCGAAGTTGGTAACGATAGAGTGAAGGGTATAATGCTTGGATATAACCAGAAACTAATCTCTCCAGTGCTAGATTGCCGAAAGTATTTTGTTCAGTTGGCATGGGATTAGTCACGAGTAGGCTGAACATTAGCTAATCAACCAGCAATAAAGATTAAATAACACACCATTGATTCGTACTCATCTGCACCGTGAGGCAAGCCTGGGCGAGTCCTAGTAGCTACATGAAAATAAATAAGTAAAATGCAGCATTGCTCGTTGAGAGACTTCAGCATAAAACAAGTTGACTTTCCATTAGCTCCATGGGTCGGCCAATAAATAACTGAATAAGGTTATGTATTAATGAAAATATTCATGATTTCCTATGTAAAATGACACAGAAATGCTCCACTTGCACATGAAGTTTTGCTTCCACTTCTAATCAACACAATGAGATAGGCTATATACCCTTTTAAACCCTTTGTACCCATGGGTATCTCCTTATTAATAAATAATCAGAAATTGATGTATAACATACGCCTAGTATTATAGCCATATATAAATTCTTATGGGCTTATGGAGGCTCTGGGCATATATCAGAGCGTCGGTATTCACAATTCAGCCATGCTGAGTCTTCCCGACTTCTGTATATACAACTTTGCAACCTTTCGGTGACGGGTCCACTTCAGTCACTCATGCGATGAGGATTGCTGCACTCTTGCGTGCATCACAAGTTAGCCCAGCGTTTACAAACGATAGCTGCGCGGAATCGTCTACTCAAGCGTATGTAGAGCATTGCTGCTCGTCTCCTGAATCCTGGATGGCTACTTCACCGCTCAGTGTACTGTGTGCATGGCTAGCTAGGTTAGACAGTTCTGGATCCTACATAGCACAAAAACGCGCGATTGGATCGCTCCCGTTCGCCCACAATGCCGTGCATTCTTTAGCAAGACCCACAGGGCATATATGCGCTACGCTAGTATAGTGCGCACGCGCAGCATTGTCGCCCGAAAATTCAGTGATTGCTAGTTACTCAGATACAGTTACCGTCTTTTATATAAGTATATAGAAGTCAATGAGGCCAACTTTCCTGGGTGCGTTTCGCTACGAATAATAACTCAATTCATGTAGCTACTGTAACTTACACAAGACGCATAGAAAAGCACTAAAGTGCAAACCCTCGGCGCTAAACGCGCGAATTGTAGCATCGCTGTATGCTGGGCCGTGCGTCATCGACTGAGCCAGTAGCACGAGTCTCGCCGTAACACAGGGTAGCTATGTTGCATTAGCGGCTAGAGCAATGGCTCATGTGTTTCAGGGGCTCTCGTATTTGCTTTATTCGCTCTTCTGTGTTTCAATGCTCTCGCCAGACGTTTTATAGATGGGAAGACAAGGCCTCAGCCACAAACTGCTCGCCAACTGAACTATTATGCTACATTGCGAACATACCTTGCTCAGTATGTTTATCCATTGAAAACAAAGAGAACAGAGATCAAAACTGACAGAAGCCCGTGGATCGTATAACCTACGTGGCGTAGCGCATGCTCCGGCGAATAATTTACCAAGCCCTTGTACATCGTCTTGTAGGTTTTGATGTAGAGTATTAAGGTTGCGGTAGGCAATCATCTCATTAAATATTTGATTGCATGTAGTAGCCCAAGGAGAAAAGCTATTAGAACAGAAACACTTAGCTACCATGCAGAATCTATCGCTACACAATTCCTCCAGCCGCTATAATAATGTCTGCTTGGTTGCAGAACGTCGTGGAAAGTGTTGAGTGAAATGTTTTAGAGAAATGCTGCTATATTCAATACCTGTATAGGTCTAGAGAGGGTTTGAGTGGTAACTTACTGGCTCAAATGCATGCCAACTGAGCAACGCACAAACATTCTCAGCATTGAGGTGAATTTCTAAGTTTTCGGCCCGAGGACAGTAGTACAGTTTCTTCTACTATCTGTTTCACTCAGACTCTTAACTAGGACTCGTAGAATTAGAATCCATAGCCAAGTGAGCAAATGAGCTCAGAAATTGACATGGAAAATCCGCGATTGAACAGGTGGCGTACATCCTGGATGTGGAGATAATGATAGTCATAACACGTCACCGCGTGGGCACAGCACTTACCCATAATCTTACTAAATTTGGCCTAATACAGTACACTACTCATGTCCTGTATGTGTTACTCCACCAAATCAATACTGACAGTGTAAGACTCATATGTATATATTATCCACATGTGCCTATTCAGTGTAGTTGATCATTAGCTTATTCATGTGTTATGAGTTCCTACCTAATTTTAAAACTGTGCACCAAATACAGCCACCACTACTATAATATGTACGTACTATCAGATAATGAGCCTATAGTAACTGAATGTCTTTTTGCTGTCACAGCATTGCTTTGAATCACAACCTGAATTAAACCACCCATTCCATTACTTCGCCACAT